TTTTCAAGCTGTAATTTTAGCAACCAATAATTACTTGAATAAAATTTTAGTGTAAATAAGCCAGAAAAAAGAGAGGGAGAGAGAGAGAGAGAAAGAGGAGAGACTTTGAAAATTATAAGCTAATTAATGCTATTTGCGCAAAAAAAAAGTATACTTTAAAATATTTGATAAATTTTTATCATACATTTCAAACACATACACACACACACCAACATTCTTCTCACTTATAAAATTTTAAATTATTACAAAATCAAATATTTTTAGCAAATATTATTGGAAAAATTTATAAATTAAATTATCAATTGAAAAATTTTGTCTTTGCATCTTTCATTCTACTAATATCAATAAATATTACTTACTCAATTCATTTTGCTTTTTACCTTAGCATAAATTGTACTAAAATATCTAATTCCATTTAATTTGCATATTTAATGTATATTCATTTTGTTATTTTGCTATGCTATGCTATACTTACTTACTTACTTACTTACTTGCAGTAAGACTACTAGCATTACTTCCTTTTAAGATTTTTGCCCTTAGCAACTTAGCTAATCACTATTATCGTTTGACTTCAACGTCTTTCCTTCCTTCCTTCTTTCTTTTTTTTTTTTTTTCTTCACCTTTCTTTCTCTTTTTTTTCCACCATATTTTAGCTTTTCCATAAAAGCAAAAGCAGTATTAGCAAAGCATTTTTCCCTTAATAATTCATCGTAATCGTTTGTGACATTCCGCCTTTTCCATCACTTCAAGTAGCTGTTATTAGCCATGTAAACGACTTCTTCCTAAAATCCTTTCATTTATTCCTTCCTCTCTCTTTCCCTCTCTCTCTCCCTCTCTCCCTCCCTCTCTCTCCCTCTTTCTTAAGAAGATAATATCATTTCAATTTCACTTCTTAACTCTTCGTTTTCCGTCTTATTTTACAAAATTAAAAAAAAAAAAAAAAAAAAGGAATCTTATTTTTGCTATATGAATTGAACTTTAGTTATGTTAATAATTGATTTCATTTAGTTATTAAAAATAGAATTTAATTCTTAGTTTTATTTTACTTTTCACATAAAAGTTACTTAGTAGTTATACATATGTTTTCCTATTTAAATAAGCTCAAAATGTTTTTTTTTTTCGAATTTTTGCAATTTAAATGTTCATTCGTCATGTTATGTAGTCGTTTTGTTTTTTTTTTTTGCTATTAACAGGCAATGAATGATATCAGTTTTCTTTTTTTTTTTTTAACTTAAGATAAAAATAAGTTAAAATTTTAATCTTAGATAGAAACATATATAATTTAAATTTTAAATAAGAATACAAGAAAACATAAATTAAAATTTAAATCTTAGATAGAAATACAGGAAAAAATAAATTAAAATTTAAATCTTAGATAGAAATATATAAGTGGAAATAGCTTCACAGTTTTTAAATTGATCAAATCATTATCGAAAAGAGTCGAACATGGGTCACTTTGAAATTATTATCAAAATAGCAGTGATAATTTTGATATTTTAGTTAAGAAAAAGATATAATTAGAGATTACTTTGGTGACACAAAATGTGACAATTGCCAATAAATTATATAATAATCGTATTTTTCACATTTTTACCAATCAAATTATGTTTTTATTGCATCCTGAAATTACTTTAATCCTAAATTAAAACAATGCACCTAAATGTTTACATCTATTTCAATTCGAAATACTCGCTGCTTCAAATGAAAAGTGTCAAAAATAAAAAATTGAAAAATTAAATTGAATAATCGTTTTTTAATCAGTGATTTTCTGTGACAAACTTTATGTGACAACTTTGATAAGCAAGGATTATTCACATTTACAATTAGTTATTTGATTATATATTTCATATCACTGATACTTAATCAATTAGCTTTGATAATCTCAGCTTTAATCAATAAATTGAAAAAAAAAACACAAATTGAAATTTTTAAAAAATGCAAAAAGAAAAAAGAAATAAATATTTTTTTTTGATTAAAAAATTTGACAAAATTATCAAATAAATGCATGGAAAAATGAAAAATGCAAAATTATTAAAAGTCTTTTCATTCATTAAATCAAACATTTTTATAATTTTTATGATTAAATTTTTTTCTTTTTTAGCTTCCTCGAAGAATCAAAAAAAAAAATGTGCTCTAATGGTTTTTTAATATTTAATTAATTAATTAATTATTTTTTTAAAGGATATTTACATTTGAAAAAAAAAAAAGAAATTTAAGCATAACTGAACAGATAATTTTGAAAAATTATTCAAAAATTTAACACTTACGTTACGTTTGCTCTACGTTTGTTTTACGTTTCCTTTATTTATGTGCAACGATATTTTCCGCGTCGTTTATTTTTTTTTTAATATTACTCAAATCTTTACGAATCTTGATTCGTAAAGATACGAATCTTGATACTCAAATCTTGATTAATTCATTAAAAAAAATAAAAAGTGAAATGATTGTATTAAATTGAGAAAAAAATATAAATTGAAAATTTTCTTTTAATATTATTATTATTTTTGTTATTTTAGAACAATAGAAAAAATAAGTAATAAAAGCTTTTCTTTATTCAAAAGAATAGTTTATTGATTAGATTTTAAGAGAGTTTAAAAATATTTTCAGGAAATAAAGGAAGTATGATTCAGTAGTTATGAAAAAAACAAAAAAATCAAATTAGAAATAAATTAAAGTTAATATTGTTGGATTTCAAAAAAAAAAAAAAAAAAGAAAAAGAAAACTACTTTTAAAATCTACAATTCATGTTTATCTGTGAATAACTGATTAAATTATTATCAGTAATTTTCATAATTTCTCTAATCAATTAAATTTTAAATTCAAAAATTCTTTTTAAAAAAAAACACTTTTTTTTTAAAAATTCAAAACAATATGAAAAAATATTTGTAATTGAGTAATAACTTATTATTTTATCAACATAGGTGCTTTTTAAAAGAAAAATTCTAGCCCCTTTTGATTTAAAATATTAGTGAAATTAACTTTGTGACAATTTTATTAAGTGAAATTTTATTGGAATGAAATTTGCATATTTAAATCACAAAAATTGAAATGATATAAAAAAGAATACTTATGAGAGAAAAATAAAAAATTTATTCGACATATTTGATTATCTAATCGTTTAGCGAATAATTTTAATTAATAATTTCAATTTCAATTAATGAGAAAAATTCAAACAAGAAATTTTCATTGCTTGAGCAATTATTGATGATTAATCTTTCAAGCAAATGTAAATATTTCATTGCTGAAGTCTTTAATTAAAATGATAAACAAACTATTACAATATTTTTTATCATTTTATCATTTACAAAATGCTTAAATTTTCTTTTCTAAATTTTTGTATTTTATCAATTATTAAAAGATTTATTTAATACTGGTTGATTAATAATTAGAGATGTATATGTGAAATATCTCTTTCAATTTATTAAAAAAAATGAAATGAAAAAATGAAGAGAGAAAATTTTCTGTCAGATTAAATCTCGTTAATGCTAATACTAATTTATTCCACATTAAAATGCTCAGTGATGCATATCAGTGGAAATAAATTTGATATGATATGAAGAGAATATTTCAATAATAAGTATTACTAAAGAAAAAAAAAAAGAAAAATGCTATTCCTATTATATAATAATAAAAGTTTTTTTTTTTCATTTTTAAAAATTTAATTTTTTCTAAACAATTTTTCAACTTTTTTTTTCTTTTTTCTGCTTACTTTTTTAATAAATTTGAGAAGTGATAACTTTTTAAAAGTCATAAATAAAATGATAAGTTATCAGAATTCTTTTTTTTTTTTGTATTCAAAATCTTTTTCTACACTACTAAATATTATTGGCAAAGTAATAAAAGTATAATTGTTATTTCAATAATTTCATAGGTTATTCAATCTCTCTCTCTCTTTCTTTCTCTCTCTCCCTCTCTTCCTCCCTCTCTCTCTATCATTTTCTTTTCGGTAAACAAAGAAAAAAATTATTTTTATTGCTATTCGAAAAAAAAAAAAAGAAAACAAAGTTAGCATTTTGAAATTCTTTGCTTCTGTCTATTTTCTTTGTCTAATATCAATTTTGGTATAAAATTTCTGATAACAATTTATCACTCAATGATAAATACATAAATTAAAAAAAAAAAAAAAGGAGATGAAAGTGTAAGAGTAACTGATTACAGATATCAGTGATAAGATAAATCTTATAGTTAACGCTATTACATATTTACTTGTCAATTTTATGAAATTCTTATTCAACATAATTATTTGATGTACTAATTCATTAACTTAAGAAATTCTTAAATGACTAAATTTTAATGAAAAATTTTAATTAATTTTTGATTGTTCAAAAAATAAAATTATGCAAAACAACGAATTTCTTAGTAATCCGATTGTAATTTTTTAAATTTTAAAATTGAATTTTAATAATAATAATAACATATACATACTATTTAGTATTTTGCTTATAAATCGTTAATCATTTCTATGTTTTCTTTAAAAAAAAGACAAAAATATTTTTTGATAATTGCTAATTTAGTTTCTTTCTTTTCCTTAAAATTAGTACAAAAATCCAAATGAATCATTCAAATTGCTTATAAAATTTTTTGTTTTGTTTTTTTAAAATATCCAAATTTCTTATTATTTCTTCGATTCTCTATGAACAACAATGATTATTTGATAATTTATTTGCTAATTTGATAATTGCTAATTTACTTTCGTTTTTTTTCTTAAAAAATAACAAAAAATATTCCAATGAATCATCTAAAAATTATTTCTACCGAATTTTTTTTTTTTGTTTTTATTTTTTTATTCTTATTTTTTAGCCAATGGCTTACTGATTTAGGCCATTGGCTAAAAATAAAAAACATTCCTGTAAACTGTCACATTTAGATGACATCACATTACATGAAGGTCAAAGGTTTTCAAAGCTGTTACTTGTGTTAATTTTAATTGCGGAATTTCTAAATGCAACTGGAAAGATTCTTTTCAGTTTTTCCGGACGGTAAAACAAAAAAAAAAATTCATGGAACGAAGACAATTTCAAAATGTTGATGAATTGGGATATGAATTAGATGAAGCAACGGATAGTAAACAGTCTAATATTGCAATGGCTGCTGCTTCCAACAAATTACTTAAAGTAAGTAATTAAAAGTAAGTAAATTAAAGTATGTGTGGATTTAAAATGAAATAATTTTAATTTTTTTTTTTTCTGTTAACATTTAGAATTTCTGTATTTTTCAATAATTTCATTTAGCTGAATTATTATACCTAAGTAAAAAAAAAAAAATGAGTTATTATTAATAAATTTTTTTCAGTGATAAACAAAAGTTAATATTTCATCAATTTTGAATAAAACTAAATTTTATAAGTTAGTTTTTAAAAATATTTAAAGCAATTACAGCAAGAAATTCTAATAAATTCGCAGTAACAAATTTAGAGTTAATTGAAGAAATAAAAAAAAAAAAAATTAAAATGAATCATTTTCTAAATATTAATTTGCATATCAAAAATTAAGTAAGCCAAAAAGAAAGCACATTAATTTTAATTAATTATACTTAAATGTTGGTAAAGAAAAAATAAATAAATAAATGAAAAATCAGTAATACTTAAATTTGATAATGAAAAAATAAATAAACAAAAATTTCATTTAAATAAATAAATAAAAATTTCATCTATTTTGTAAAGTAGATGAAATTAATAAATGATTAAATATTTTTCATTACATAAATACTTTCTAAAGTATAAGTAATTTACCCCGATAAACTATAAGTAATTTACCCAGACAAACTATAAGTAATTTACCTAGATAAACTATAAGTAATGTAACCAAATAAATTATAATTAATTTACCTAGATAAACTATAAGTAATATACTGAAATGGACTATAAGTGATTTACCTAGATAAACTACAAGTAATATACCCAAATAAATTATAATTAATTTACCTAGATAAACTATAAGTAATTTACCCAAATAAACTATAAGTAATTTACCCAAATAAACTATAAGTAATTTACACAAATAAACCATAAATAATTTACCCAAATAAACTATAAATGATTTACCCAAATAAACTATAAGTAATTTACCCAAATAAACTATAAGTAATTTACCCAAATAAACTATAAATAATTTACCCAAATAAACTATAAGTATTTACCCAAATAAACTATAAATAATTCTTTTAGGCAACTGACCAGTGTTCATGCTGCAATTGTGCAAAACGTTGGCAACTTGCAATTTTGGCTAATTTTGGTTTTTTAATTGTTTTTGGCATACGTTGCAATTTTGGTGCAGCAAAAAATCATATGGCACGTGATTATACAGATCCATGGGGCAAACATCATGTTAGCATGCTTTTATCTTTTTTAAAAATAAATTTTATTAAATTTAAATTTTACAAAAAAAAAAAAAAAAAAGACAGACAATTTATTTTTATTAGAAATGATTATTATTTCTTTTCCAAAAATGAATGATTTTTTTCTTTGCAAATTTGCAAAAATTAGAGTTAAAAAAAAAAAAAAAAAATTCAAACTAACAAATTGTTCTGTAAAAATTTGAATTAAACTAATGTAAAATTTGAAATCAACAATTGAAAAGTCTCAAATTTTTAGGAGAAAATTTCCATTTGCGAATTATTCTTTTGAATAAAACAATCAAAATAAAAAACTCCAATTTTTTATACATAAATAATTGTTTTAAAAACAAACAACAAATGTATAACTAATGCTTTAAGTAATTAAAAAATGATCAAACATTGATAATAAATTAAAAAAAAAAAAAAAAAAAAAACATTTTCAACTAATGTTTGTTTGTTTGTTTGTTTTTTAACTTTCCAAAAATTTCTACTTCAATAATAACTGTTATATCGATCGTTTTTCTATAACTGAACTTATCATTTCTTATCACAACTGAATTTGTCAATTTTTTTTGTTATTTCAAATTTTCTTGGACTACTTTTAACAAAATTGAAAATATTTTATCAAATCGATTGACAAATCAATTTGTTGCATTAATTTTTCACTCCAAATTATTTAAATTATCAAAAATTTATTTAATTTAAAAAAAGCTTATTTAAATTATCAAAAAAAAAAACAAAACCTTAGCCATCTCTTTTGATTATTTCCATTGAAAAGAAATTTGTCTTACAGTGATAATACCTGGCATTAATACCTGGTGGTTACTTTACCTTTTATTAATGTTTTACAATTATGAAAAACTTTTTCTTAATGACTGTCAACAAAAAAGAAATGAATAATTTATATTCTTGAATTTATAAATAAAAAAAAAATTATTCTTATAATTCTGATTGCAATAAAATTTTAGTTTTCATTTTAAATTACTCATTGTACGCTTAAATTTCTAATAATTTACCTAAAATGTTAAAAAATTTAAGTTTTTCTTTTTTTTTTGCAATTCTATTCATAATGAACTTAATTTTTTCAAAAAAAAAGCTAAAATAATGAATGAATAATTTTATTAAAATAAAAATTTTCTAACTTTCATAATGTTTACAATTTGATTATTTGTCTCAATCAATAATCGAATTTTGAATAAATTTTTGCATTCAATGGGGTCATTTTTTTAAAAATTATAGAATTTCATAAAAAAAATTTGAGTTTTATCCTCAAAGTTCCATGATTTTCCCTTTCTTTCTCTCTCTCTCTCTCTGTTTTTTTCTAATTTTTTGAATTTTATAATTCTTAAAAGTATAATATTCAGAGGAAAACAAAAACTTATTTAAAATTTTTGTTTACTAAATTAACTAAGAGAAATATAATTTCTAATTGTTGACATTTTCTTTCATTCAAAATTTACTAATTTTTGTTGTTATCAGATATTTTCTTATCATTTTTCTATTTATATCATCAATTGTGTATATTTGAACCTTTTTTTGAAATGCACTTTTTAGTGAAATGAATTTTAATAATTTAAAATTTCAACTAAAATAGTTCAAAAGCTTTTAAACAAACTTTCTAACATTTCATGATAAATTTTCATTAAGTAAGTAGCATTCAGTATTTCTCTCCAATTTATGACATTTCATTTCTTTATTTCAACTTCAAAAATAACTATATCATAATTTTTGTTTGTGCTAAAATATAAAAAGTGAAATAATGAAAAACATTAAAAAAAAAAAAAAAAAATGAACAAAATAAAATTAAAAATATAATTCCAGATTAAGCAGAAAGCAATGCAACAAATTATTAATCTATAAAAGTTTGATTTATGTGAATTTAATTTATACTTTAGCTATTAGAGTTAAAAAAAAAGAAAGAGAGAAAATCATTAATAAAAATATTGCTCAATAATTCTTTTATATTTTAAAATTATATTTTGAAATGAATCATAAAAATTAGAATTGTATTACAATTAACAATTAATTATATTTAATCATATGATAAGAATAAAATATTTATATGGAATAATTCCGGAAAAGTTAATAAATCTTCCGGAATAATTACGCTAGAAACAGAAACAAATTGCACTGTTTTTCTTTTTCTTTTTTTTTTGTTTTATTTTTTCTGTTTTTGATTTTATTTTATTTCATTTCAAATATGAGAAAAAAAAATTTTTTTTTTTTTTAATATAATAAATTATAGAAAATTTTAGCGACGTGAATTTAATTGGACATTAACAGAATTGGGTGTTATGGAAAGTTCATTTTTTTATGGTTATTTGGTGACACAAGTACCGGCAGGCTTTTTAGCTGCTAAATTTGCACCAAATAAGTAATAAAGTTAAAATTTTAATTTCTAATTTAAACTTTTCATTTCAAATTTATTTTTCAATTCAAGATTAAAGGCTTTTTTCTCAGTTGTTGCTTTTTCTTCGTTTTTCTTCTTCTCATTTTATAATTCAATATTTTGAAAATTATTTGAAATTAATTAATATCTATTATTATTACTTTAAAGTAGTGAAAAAAAAAAAGTTTCCTGAAAAAGTAATTATTTTTTTTTTTTTTTTTTTTTTGTAGATTATTTGGCCTTGCAATAGGTTTGGCATCATTTTTCAATATTTTGTTACCATTTGCATTTCATGCAAATAATGATACTTTAATTGCATTAATTCAAATATTACAAGGACTTGTACAAGTATGTTTTTCTTTTTCTTTTAACTGATAAACTTTTACTGTAACATTTTCCTTTTTTTAATTAAAATGAGTATATTTTAGGTAACAGTTAAATAATTTTTAATTTCTTTGTTATTTCAATAAAATATCATAATAATTTGAAATGATTAATTAATATAAGGAAAGTATTATGATAAATTATTTGAGAAATTAAACATTTTTCATTAAATTATTATAAAATAGAGCAAACTTCAGGGTGTATCATATCCTGCAATGCATGGTGTTTGGCGCTATTGGGCACCACCATTAGAACGATCAAAATTAGCAACAACCGCATTTACTGGTTCTTATGCTGGGGCGGTAATTGGTTTACCAGCTTCTGCTTGGCTTGTTAGCTACATACATTGGTCAGCGCCATTTTATGTGTATGGTTCGTTTTTTTAAATAAATTTTCCTTTTTTTTTTTTTTTTAATCGTAAAATATTAAAATAATATTAGAGTGACGTATTCAAACGTGTATAAAACGTATCCTAAAAAATTTATCCATCTATAAATTTTGTCTTTTTCTTTTATTAATTTAATTTTTACTCATTGATATGTAATAATTATATTTTGAAATGTTAATACTTCTTTTTTTGAATAGGTTTTGCTGGCGTAATATGGGCAATATTTTGGTTTGCATTAACATTTGAAAGTCCAACATTTCATCCAACAATTTCAATGGAAGAGAAAAAATATATTTTAGAAACAATTGGACCAGTATCAACAAGTCATCCAACAGTAAGTTTTTTTTTTTTTTATAAAATTTTTATTTATTTGCTTATTTGATTAATTTTAATTTAATATTTAGCTTTCATCAATACCATGGAAAGCAATATTGCAATCAAAACCAGTTTATGCAATAATTGTGGCAAATTTTGCACGAAGTTGGACATTTTATCTTTTACTTCAAAATCAACTTACCTATATGAGAGAAGTGCTCAATATGGCAATTAATAATGTAAGCAATTTATACCAAAAAAAAAAAATTTCACTTATTTTTTTTCGATAACAGCAAAATATCACTAATTTTTCACTTTCTTTTTCTTTAAAAAAAAAAAAAAAAAAAAAGATAGGTTAACAAATAAGCTAAACAATTGATAATTTAAAAGCAATGGCTTAAAATTTTATTAATTCTTTCTTATTTTATCATATTTAATTTTGTTAATTAATCGATGATTACATTTTATTTATTGTACTTACAGAGTGGTTTAATAGCTGCTTTACCGCATGCAGTGATGGGTTTAGCAGTACTTGGTGGTGGTCAACTAGCCGACTATTTGCGCTCACGTCGAATTCTCAGTACAACAGCAGTGCGGAAACTTTTCAATTGTGGCGGTAACTGTTAACTGTTAACAAAAATCTCTCTCTCTCTCTCTTTCTCCTATCTAATCAATATATTTATTTCAGTCATATTTAATTATCAAAATTTTTCTTTTCTTTTTTTGTATTGATAATATCAAATTTTAAAAATAATGCGCATATTTTCTCAATTATTATTTTTTCAATTTTCAATCCTCATTAATTAATATAATACTTTTTGAATGTGATAAAGTAACATTTATAGGTTTTGGTGGTGAGGCTATATTTATGTTAGTTGTAGCATATACTAAAAGTGATGCAACTGCTGTATTTGCACTAATACTTGCTGTTGGTAGTAGTGGATTTGCAATTTCAGGTTTTTTTTTTTTTTTTTTATTATTAAATTACAACTAGTTGTTTTTAAAATTCTCTCTGAAAAAATTTCATTCCATTGCTTATATTTTGATTCAAATGAGTTAAATTTTGAAAGCTTTATCAATGATTGAAAAAGAAATGAAACGATTAATTTTAAAAGATTTAGTTTAAAAAAAAAATTACAATTTATCATATTTTTAAATTATTTATTATTTATTTTATTTTTTATTTTTATTTTTTTTTTTTGAAGGCTTTAATGTGAATCATTTGGATATAGCACCACGTTATGCAGCAATATTAATGGGTTTTTCAAATGGTATTGGTACCTTAGCTGGTCTAACATGTCCATTTGTAACCGAAAAATTAATCGCACGTGGACCACGAGGATGGGAAAAAGTATTTTTGCTTGCAAGTCTCATACATTTTACTGGTGTTACCTTTTATGCTGTTTATGCATCCGGTGAATTACAAGATTGGGCAGAACCAAAAGATGAAGAAGAACCATGGTTCAGAAATAATACCTATAAAAGCACCAGTAAGTTTATTTTATTTCATTTTTCATTCTAATTAATACAAAATAAATTAATTGATACTAAAAATTTTGTTGAAATGTTAAATTGAAATTTAAAATGATATACCATAACTGATTTTCTTTATTTTAAGGTATAGATACCAGTGGTGGTGGTGGTGGTGTCGGTAGTCATTATGGTACAGTAAATTCAGAACAACGACAAAATGATCCAATTCCTGATTTTAACAAAATTTGGAATGGTTGTATAGCATAATATTGTTGATCATTTCTTTCTATAAAAATTATACTTTATTTAAATCAAATAAATCATCAAACTATCAAATTGATTATTTCCATTTTTCTTTTTTCCTTTTTTTGCAGATTCATCTTCGACAATAGATTCAAATGAAATGAGAAATAGATACGACAACTTATCAACAACAGCTAATCCCACCATCTATAATGATTCGAAACGATATAGCAGCACAAACAACAATTACGAAGGATGGTGATCAATCATAAGAAAGTCATTTTATTTAAATCAAAAAAAAAAAAAAGAAAGTTCATTATTCATTACTTTCGAGAAAATATCGCCAAAAATTACGAATCAGTCATATCGATAAAGGGAAACTTAAGTAAAATGTAAAAATGTAACATCAGTTACATTCAAATATTTCTGATATTACAGTTACTCTCTCTCTCTCTCTTTTTTTTTTTTTTGCAATAAATTGATACTTAACTTATTTTAACTGTATGCTACTGTTTTATTATCAACTTGAAACATTAAAATTTATAAACGATACTGGTATGCAACGATGATCCGTTAACAAACATTGATAATACATTTAGTAAAATTTAATTATCTTAGGGAAAAAGAGAAAATGCTTAAAATTTATTTCCACTGTTAATATCGTATTAATAGGAAAACATTAAAAGCAAAGAAATTTTAACTTTTCGAATACTTTTAATTTTATTTTATCAAAATGTTTCGATTTCATAGAGCTCAATCGTTTACAGCAAGTTGGTAAAGATGCAACATATTTGCAACAATAAAAAAAGAAATCAAAAATCTGTTATCAAATCAAAAGCTCAATAAAATTGTCACTCAATTCATAACTTATGCTGACACTGTCAATAATTAATTAAATTATACTAAAACGCATATTCAAGAGATATAGGAGAGAGGGAGAGAGAGAGAGAGAGAGGGAGGGAGAGAGAGAAGAAAAAAGAAGGAAATGTCAACAATGCTTACAGTTTCTATTTTGCATTAATTCATGCAAATAACATATAAATGATAGAAAAAAAGTATTTCAGAAAGAGCAAAGAAAAGAATACATCTTCTTTTATAATTTGAGCAAATTCAAATTTAAATTTAAAAAAAAAAAAAAAAGCAGTACGAATCTCAAAATCCGGTAACAAACAGAACTTCTAAAATAAAATTATAAATAGTAATTATTACAAATATTTTGCTTTTTTCTCTTTTGAGATATCACATTTAATGTAAAATTAATCTATTTCAAACTTTTTGAACCAATTCAAAATATAATTTTTTTGTTTGTTTGTTTTTTATTGAAGTGTTATAGCTGTTTCCCAAAAAAAAAAAAATGATCACTAACTTATTAATTAATTGTTGATCCTAATTATGATATGTGATACAATCCTACTACATCCTACAATCATTCCTAAGCTTGAAAAGAAAACAAAGGAATACAATATCAATACACACCGGGCGCAACAGATGAGATGAGCAAATTTCTCTTACAATATGAAACAAAAAGATCAATCACATTCTATTACTTGTTGTTGAAGGATAAAAAAGTGAAAAGAAAAAGAAAGAAAAGAAAAAAAAAAATGAAGAAAAAAGAAACTGTTAGTAAGAATTTAAAATTTAAAACTTAAATGAAGGAATAATTCTGTAAGGCATCATTTCTATCACTTAAAATTTCAATGTTAAAATATGTATCAAGAGTATCATGAAAATTTGATGCTATCAAATAAGCTGCTTTACCCATCTTTGCGCTCTTCTCTCCGGATAATACTGAAAGCTCATAATACAATAAATACTTCATACTTTGCAAGCTGCTATTTCTCAAACATGATGAATATTTTCAGGTTTAATTCATATTTACATAACAGAAATCAGAGTTTGAAAATGAACCAATCAATTTCCTATGTTGTTCAGGATTGTATGATCACAGTGAGATCCATTATAAAACTTTCCCGCTCTACAAAAGGTTCTGGGAAGTTAACCAAATTTCTTTAATCTCATAGCAAATCTATTTTTACAACATTGGCCATTCCGGAAATACTTCAATAAATCTGCTAATCCCATATAGCTATGATTTCTGAATATATTTGGCGTTTTTCAATAAGCTAGCAATCCTCAGTTATTTTCTGAATATATTTTGAGTTTTTTTTTTTTTTTTTTTTCAACAGATAGCTCTTCAGTTCAGAACTGACCTGCAGAGCTATCTGTTGAAGTTTCTTCAATAAATTGGTTAATCCTTAAATACTTCAATATCTTCCCATCTCAAAATCAAAATCGAAATTTACATTAAACAGATAAATTGACAAAAAGAGAACAACTAAAATACTATAATAAAGTTAATACAATAAAACAATAGGAAATATACGAAAGATAAGAACGAATCTGTTCAGGAAAGCAATATAGTGATAATAACAACAATTACGGATATGAGATTGCACCTCACCGAAAATGCCATTCATTTCGATCCTCCTACGCCTTTGTCACCCTCTTTTGTCATTTCTTCCTTCTTTTTTTGTTCATTTGATACCCGTTTCTGCTTCTCTAATCTCTCTTTTCGTTCTTTATATTCTTTGTATGTCGTTATTACTAAAAGGAAAATGTAAGTAACTGGAAATTTTCATAGCTATTTCTCTGCTTTCAGGAAATATCACGACCACATTAGCTCAAATTCTCAGAGGAAGAGGTGAGGTGAGATGTAAAACCTAACTTACATTAGCTGAGCTACATTAGCAGCTTTTATAACAAACTGCAAGAGACAAAAATAATTGGCTAACCTTCTGTTGGATGTTCTGTGGACTGGAAACATTTCCACATTCCAATCGCTGTTATTATTTCAGGTCGTTGCCTTATATCGACAACGGTTGGTGAACCTGCAGCTGATGCATCACTTTCCGGAAGAACAACTTGACGACCTCCATCCAAATTGAGCACTATCCCGGAACATCGAGGCTATAAACATCATGTTATCCATAAAACATCACTGGAAGTTCCATAGCTTCACAGATTGAACAAACCAAGACTAGGACAATTACCTACTACTGTAAATACAGGAATATTTTCCGTATTTGACTGCTTGATAAATAGGAAGCCATATTGTGATTTATAAAAGTCTAAAACTTATAGTACAAGAGCGAAAAATGTGAAATTCAAATTCTATATAAAATTCCTACTTTAAAAGCCTTCGAATCCTCGTCAGTTTCCTTTGGCATAGTTTTAGAACTCTTCGATTCTGATTCTGAAAGACAAACATGCTATCTTTGAAATAAATTTATTAAATCAACAGAAGCTATTCTTGTCATGAATTTATTGTTAGCTTCATATAACTAGCAAAACCAAACGTTACCTTTCGACACAGTTCCAGCAGCTTCGTTTGGATCAAAAAAGAAGGAATAATCTTTCACTGCTGGGTCACTGCTTACCGATTCCACACTTACAGTTCGCTTTTGCTTGCTATATCCCGGCTTTTCTTCACTTTCCATATGACCTAAAATCATGAAACTTAACAGTCTTTCATGCATTTCCTGAACAATCAAATTGTCTCAGAAATGTCACATCAAATATATTTTGATAATAGCTCACCAGAAATGGAAATCCCACTAACGGAATGTTCTTCTTTGATCGATGCACGAAGATCCAACGATGCAAGAGGTGCTTCACTTGGACGTGTTTCAACATTATCGTACAATCGTCGCTTGGCTATATCTGCCCAAGATTGTTGAGCTGAAAAAAACCATCTTTAATGGATTTGCAAGAAAAAAAAAAAAGAAAAATAAATTAATCACTTTAAGAAATCCTTTAAAAAAAATTTCTTTAGAATATGCTATTTATTCGTTCGAAAAATTATAAACCTGGAGCTTTTGTATTAGGAATAGTACCACTGCCAATATGCTGCTCCGTTATTTTGCACTTCGCATCTGACAAACTTTCCGAAAGAGATGCAACAGCCGGTGAAGAGCCACTCTGCAACTAAAATTTTCGAAAACTGATTAATCAACAGAGTTCGATCACATAATGAAGTACTTTATCGAATGGTTTTTTTTTTTATATGCATATTAAATAAATGTGAAAAATGAATGAATAGCCAAAATAACAAATATGATTCACAGCACAAAAAAAAAAAGAAATCCAAATTCATCACAAAAATTGTGAAAATATTTTTGTTTGAAAGAAAAAAAAAAGTTACAGATAGCTTAACTTACGCTTCCAGCAGCGACAGAATATTTTAAAGTCAACGGTTGACTGCTACGATGATCAGGTGATGCTGTTCGACTTGTTTGAAGGGAAGATGGTAACCCACATTTTCCCTTCTTGTTCATCGATACTGAGGTAGCAAATTTAGAATGCTCCTGCTGTCTTTGCTGCTCTGGACGAGCACTATCAGTGATGCCGATAAGTTGACTTTTTCCACTCTAAAACAAAAACTTAGTTCATCATAGCACAGCATATGTGATCAAAATTGCCAATTAGTTTAAGAGATGATACAGTGATTAACAAATATGTTGATGGTGTAAATTATGAATATTTCGTTTCTCATATGTCCATAGTAAATATCGCAAAACTGAAAATAGTTCAGACATTTCGTTCAAGTCATATCGATCAGTCAGTCAGTTCTGACAAACCTTGTTCTCTTGTGCTTTCATAAGAGTATTATCAACAACATCTGAAATTAACATCCGAAGTCGTGGAGGAGTCGAATATTTTTGAAAACTCTGAAAAGTTAAATAAAATTAGAAAAGAGTAGAAAAAGGCTACGAACACAAAACCACAATAAATTTAGTTTTTCTGTACACCATAAATTTCTTCTTCTCTTCCTGTTATCGATCACTTCCAAATATCGAGTTGGATCGGAGCGAAACAGTGGCACACTGCATTAACATAAACAAAGGTCAAATTTTTAAGAGAATGAACAAGCACGAAACAAACCTCGCAATCAACCGATGATGGAGAAGTGTTTCCACGTGAAGATAGTTGGTTTCTACGGCTGTCCGGTGGTAGTTGTACTGAGCTTCGTCGCAATCTATCTGCATCACGCCTTACATTTGTCCTAGCACCTCGATCTGTCGTGCTGCAACAATGATGTAACACTTTCATTGACTAAAATATTTCAGTTTTTTTCCCACCATTTCATTAATTATTAAGCTTTTCTTGCAAAGTTATATTCTCATGATAAAAAGGTCATAATTCACTAAATTTTCCATACCAAAGCTGGACTGTAGAAAAACTTCGTATTTCTATCATACCTATTGAAGTACACGTTCTTCCTATCCATTCCCGATCCCGTAGTTTGTTGTTGATGTTGAGTCAGAGCAGTAGCACCTTTCCTCTTACTCTTAGCAGTGACCTGAATAAATTCAGATTCTTCGGATGTTACTGGTAAAGGATTTATTTCTTCATCATCAGCACGATAATTGGCGCCATCACTTATAAAGTCGCGTGAACCAGAAGCACCGGATTGTTCATCCGTATGATACTGCAACTCAGTTTTCTAAAAAAACACTTATTTTACATCGAAACAAAGAATTAGAAAATTTCTGTTAAAATCAACATAAGCTATTTTAAATCTTGAAATTAATTACAGATTTTGTTTTTGTTTTTTTTTTTTCAAAGTTAAAATTTTCTTTTAGTCCTTATTCGAAAGAGAATGATGCGTAACTTCACGGCAAATCTATAATTACTCATACCATAATTAATTTCAAAAAAAAAACATACGATGTCATCGGAGAAGTTGGAATTTGCACCTTCATCGGCACTCAAATATTGCTCTTCATCGTCCATACCTTCATCCACTGTGCTCTTCGCTGCGATCATAACACCACTCCCAGTTTCTTCTACCTTATCAGGTGATAATGTTACGACTTCCGTCTACAAAATCAAATTAGAATATAAGTTATAAATAAATTTAGTTTTTCGTTTTTTTAAATCAAATTTTATATTATTCACTACGCATTAAGAACTACCAATAAATACCTGCAGAATGGACTGAATTAACTTTTAAGTAATACGAATTTTCTACTACTTCATACAGAACTAAATTATATTTTATTGTTTGCCTTCTCAACTTTCTTTCACTTCCAACAATCTATTCTTTCTTTTTAGCTCACTTCATGGGACTTAATATCACATGCGTGAGTATAGATAGAGCGTACAACTAAAATCCAATTAAACCAAAAGATAACACCTTCGATGTTCTCGTCTCCGTCGTTAATGATCCATGTTCAGGTACATGGGTAGTTCCCTCCACAACAACCATCTCTCCTTTTTCTATATTTAATGTTTCCATGTTGGTTGAGAGTTCAGCTATCTCTTTATCAGTTATGGCAGAGCGTCTTGCAGCCTATTAAAAAAAAAAAAAAAAATATCATGTTTAATAAAAATACCAAAAGCAATAAATCAAAAGTTCCATCTAATCATAGTAATATTTTGACCTTATGTTTTTTCTTTTTTTTTTTATGGAAGTAGAAAAACAAATCTTTTCATCATTAGAGACATTCAAGTCTCGCTAACAATCTCTTCTTTTCTTCAAAATCATCACCTATAATAAGAATCACAAAATAGGCAAACAGATATATGATAATCAAAAGTTCTTGAAATACTGAAACAACTTTACAAAGAATGTATTTTACGGAAAACTTCTAGTATCGTTCTTTGTTAAATTAACTCAGATAAAGTAAATACTAATTTTTCGGAACCTTATCTGCTTGTCGATCTTTTTTGTCACCTCTTTTACGACCACCACTATTTTTAGAACCGTTCGCTACAACAGTAGAATGATCCTAAAAGAAAAGAAACGATATTCTAAATCTTAAATATATTATTGCTGGAGTAATATGTGACATGCAGCATCAGAATCACACGTTCATCTGCTGTTACAGTGATTGTAATTTTATAACAGCTGAGTACAATTACTGTTAACAGCAGCTATAATAATTGCATCAGTAATAGAAAAGGAAAATATCTATAAATCTTGTGAATATCGATCTGATGTTATCGCCTAAAATGATAGGAGTAATAGTAATAATAATAGTGACACTACAAGTAAATGAGTATCGGATCAATGATCTGCCGAAATATTGTTGCATATTCGGAACAGGTAGTAGTATCCGACAGGGTAATGGTACCTGGAGATAATGGAAATGGAAGAAGCTAAAAAGGATGGAGGAAATTGGATGGAAATAAATGAGAGGAGAGAAAAAAGGAAAAGGAAGGGAGGAAAGAAGGAGAGATATGGTGAGCAGTACTTGAAAATGCAACCATTATGTGGTACTTCACAACAATTACCTCATAGCAGCCACAGCGATTAATAGTCGCTAACCATCATAGACTCAATGGTCAACACATTGACCTCAATAGCATCCTACCCTTTGACCTATCAAAATATGGATTGCTGAGTATGCACTGCAAAACAATAATTCCTCTGAACTATCTCCTCCTCCTCCTCCTCCTCCTCCTCCTGCATCAAAAAGACCACCATTACTCAGTTTTAAAAATGCCAGAAAAAAATTTCATTTGAATAGAAGTAAATACCTTAGACGCATTTGTTCCATTCTTTTGATTTCCTTTAACTTTCCCTTTGTCATCTCCCTCGATCCGCTTCAATATTTCTTCAGGTGATAAATTACCCATATAGCCTAAATTAGTGTCATATAAAATGCAAAAAAAAAGTGAATTAAATCATCAATTTAAATAAGCTTCTTTTCGAAGTTCGAGTTGTCGGGAGGAGTAATAGTTAGGATCAGATTATGAAAACACTCAACAAGCCTATTCCATTTATCATATCTCCTTCTACATTTATACATACATCGAAATTTTATATGCAATACTTTTTCAAATTGTTTAAACAATTTCACAGCTATGCATTACGGCAAAAGAAATAGTTCCTGGAAATGGATGGATAGATGGATGTATCAATATTAACAGAAGTTTACTGCCAGAAGAGAAGACTGAACTTTTTAAGTTCTCATCTGGTAACATTATCTTCTCATATCTTTTACACTATGTCTCCAACAATGTACACATGAATATCAAAAAAAAAAAAAAAAAAAAAAAAGGATCAGAAAGCAAAATTAAAATGTAGAATTATAGATAAAATATTTAAAAAAAAAAAACAGGAAATGATAATAAATTAAGGGGAAATGGTATTTTCTAACTCTCGTTATCTTGAATCTACTAAACAGATAAATGGGAGAGAGAGAGGGAGAGAGAGAGAGAGAAAGAAGAGGAAATAGAAAAAGTAAATGAAATGAAATGAGATGAATAAGTTATCCCCTTCTTTACCTATTACCAAACGAAATAACAATGCAGAATGATGAAGCAAATCAACATTGATATAGTATGTTTGGTGTTAAAAAAAATCTTACAAAATATAAACTTCCTTAATTAGAATTAAACTTCTACAACAAACCACTGATGAAAACATAAGTGAACGTTTAATCCTATAAATATAGTGGAGGGTTTAATTTTTTTACACATTACCTATTATATCATTCCTTGTATACAAATTTATGAACAGCAGATTGAAATGGAAGAGCACAAAATATTTCTCATCTCATTACTGCATTCCATTCTCGAACAAATATCATTTTAGCAGCATACTTTACTCAAAAGATAAAATGACCATATCATATATCATTGTGATTGCTGTCATAGCTTTTTCTCTCTCTAAGGAGAAAAAAAAAAAATAAGCTGAACAATTACTAATTTATGATACTTTTTAATATTGTTTCCTCTAAAAAAATGCTTTACTTATAAGTTTTACACAAGTATTTCACACTTTAAATCACATAAATTACAGACAAACCATCTATAAATTTCTATATTTTAATTACTAAAGACAAATCAATGAAGTGCTAAAATATACAAGCAATATTATCTGTTGCATATGTACATAATAATATCTAATGCATTTCACTAACAATATATATATATATCAAAAATCAATTCCATTAAGGTTTTACAAAATTTGCTATTTCAAAACAAAGCTAAACGAAAGGCTTAACTTTCCGATATTTCAAAAATGTGTGTTTATATTCATTTCTTTTATCATAAACTTTTGAATGGAATGGTAGTTATTTTTTACTAATAAATATTACCACATTACTACCATTATTACAATTATCACTAGAACTAGTGCATATTCCATTATTCATTAAATGATGTATATCCGAAAATATGATGACAATGAATCATCATCTCTCATTCATTTTTTGCAAATCCCTTATTGTTGTCAACACCTATCACAATAATAGCTGCACATCATCCACTATCCTAATAGTTGTCTCTTTAAAGAGAAAGAGAGAGAGAGAGGGAGAGAGATTAGTAACCCTAATCTCACCGTATGGAACAAAATTGAAGTTCCTTTCGAGTAAATTATTCATACGTTACCTATACATGAATACCAAACACTTATTATTCGCATAACCGTCCCCAACTGAATTCTTTAGGGAAGTCTATCACTTTTCATCACTGTTCCTATCTCATATATCTTTTAAATGGTTGGGAACAAAATGTTGCTGTTATAAAAAAGAAATAATTTTTATAATTTAACCGGTAATTACGTATCTGAAAAGTAAAGAGATATAAGAAAATTTCAGAAATAATAAGATATAACCATTTCTGCCTACTTCAATTTATCTTACAATAAACATTTACTGATTACATTTACTGATTAGTAACACTCTTAATCCATTTCCTAGTAGATATTTACCTCAATAGTTGCAGACGAATAGTTGAACTTATTTCTTTATTGCCTTTATCAAAAACATTATTGCTTCCTCATAATTATAATTGCTTTTCCTTACTTACTGATAAACGATCGATTGATTCCTTTTACAAAACCATTTCTGTTATAGACAATTCAAAAATGAGATATGACAATATTGCTCCTGGCTGTAGTTCACCTACAGAAATGAAAATGGTCCTTTTATAAAAACAAATTCCGTTATGGGATCAGTGACATTTCAAATCTTGAAACAGAAGAAGCAAAAAAAAAAGCGACAATATGACTCATCAGAAAGAAAGGGACACAAGAAAAATTTGTGAAAAATTAAATGACTGAAATGTGTCATCAGTCAAACCAGTTATCATCAATCTATTTAGCTATTTCAAAAAATATGCTAATAATGGTTAGATTTGTAAAAACAAAAAAAAAAAAAATAACAATAACACCCAAATCTATCAGTAAATACGTTACAGCATATAAAATACTATTGCATTCAGTGACAAGCAGCTTTTAATAGATAATTTAATGGATTTCTATCCAACAATACGAATTCTATTCTTAAAATTTTCATCATTCATTCTTTTGATATCACAATATGGCACTCAGAAAAACTATCATACCAAAGGTAAATAAATGAATATGCGATGATAATTTGAATAATAAACAATGTTTTTTTTTTTTTAGTTTCAGTCATTAGCATTAAAAAAAAAAAAAAAATTATCAATACTTTAAAATTGAACACCTAAAAAAAAGGAAAAGAAAAAAATAAAAACAAAAACAGGGAAGCATTTAAATGATTCACTCCTTTTTTTTTTTTTAAATTCTTTAAATTTCAAAAAAATCTACACAAGAATTTCTGATTGAAACTACTAATTGATAATGCCTGGTATGAAATGTACAGTAAAAAAAAAAAAAAAACAATTCTCATTTAAACAAAAATAAAAAGTTAAAATGAAGAAAAATCATTTACAAATGCATATAGAAATGAAAATAAAAAAAAAAAAGTTTTAATTTGTATTTGCATTGTGTTCAATTTTATTCCTTTCATTTTGCAAAATGAAAAGGAATAATACGCTTAATTAGCTTAGATTACCTAAACAAATTTAATTCAAGAATAATAATAGTATGGGAAATGAAATGCGTTGTGGATGAAAAATAAATTTGCACAACATATGTGCATTAATTGACAAAAAAAAAAAAAAAAAAAAAAAAAATAAATTGATGATTTCAAGTTAAAAAAATGTTAGTTTGTTTGATTTTAACAGCATTTAAAATATCTACTTTCATATGAATTATTATTAGTTTATATTAAATTTTTGTAAAGCATATTTGAAGTTTTCTTAAGTAAATATTACTGTTACATATGAAACTGAGCAATTGGAGTTTATTAAAAAAATTATGAATTTGAAATGAAAGCTGAGAAATAATAAATTTTTGTGATTGGAATATCTGAAAATTTAGACTTATAAATATACTATAATTCCACTAAAATCTTTTTTCTTTTTCTAACAAAATTAGCAGTGAATATTGCATAAGGTAAGATGAATTAAATTTATCTAAATTATAAACATAAAAATCATAAATTAGTTAAACATTTTACACATTTTTTCTCCTTGCTATAGTACTTTTTTTTTTTTTTTTTAACAAGATTTAATAGAATTATTCAAAGAAGTTAAATTCGTTGATATCACTATGTAAAGACTATCTATGTTAATTAATAACTTGAAAAAAAAAAAAAAAAAAAAAGATTAAATAATAAATTTACAAGTAATAAATTTTGTATATATTTACCCGAAAATTTTCCATTTCGATGATTCATTCAAAAGTACGAATATTTTTTTTTTTTCCGTCAGTGCTAATCATACGTCACCGTATGAAATGAACCACACTAATAATATATAGCACGAAATATGATGATGATGATAATAGTAATAATGATGTTAATAGTATGCGACGATTGATAGCAATAAAAATGATAGAGATAATGATGACTATTACTGCTGCTAGTGATAAGATCAAAGATAAGATTTAGAGGAAGAAATGAATACCAAGCAAAAAGGTTAGAATATTACCTCTAAAATGATCCATTCTATTACTTCTTTTACAACCAAAAGATAGCACAAGGTCATACTCGTAAACAAGTCTACAAATCGTTTGTTACCTTTCCCAGGAATATCCCCAGTGTAAATGATATATAATATATATGATAATGAACTAACCATCTTTCGGTTCAACAACATAACTATTTTTTGCTTCTTTCGCTTTTTTATTCTCTTTGCGTCTTTTAGCAATTGCGCATTTGTCCTATAAATTATTCTCTTTAGCAATTTATCAAAAAAAAAAAACTTTCTGGAAATTTATAAAAGAGATGGAATGATGCCAAATTATTTCGGATTTAATGATATTGTTATATTTTAAAATGAGAAAGTGATATTTCAAATATTCAAATAAAAAGTTTCAAAAAAAAAAAAAAAAAAAAAAGAAAGAAATCCCTCAAACTTTTCATATGGCATTCTATTGACTCTCTCTCTGCTCTTTGCAGTGAACTTATCCCATAATTCTCTTACATGTTCGAATGAAAAGAGAAGATTGGAAGAGAGAAAAGTAAAACAAGAAGAAAAACAGAAAAAGAGGGAGAGTGACAGAGAGAGGGACAGAGAGAGAGAGAGAGAGAGAGAGATAAAATTGATAAATGTAAACCAACTGGTTGATTTTTCAGATTGGCCATTTCGTTATCCAAATTTGTCTGCTGCGGATTCTGAAATAAATTTTGTAAAATTATTATATTTGTTATGATAAGAAGAAAATATAAAATATAAAAATTGTTAACAATTATCATATAAGTTAAAATGCTTCTTTTTTTTTCTCTTTTTTTTTCCTGCAAGTAATCAATCCTTAAAGATATAATGATAAAAAAAAAAAAAGAGTAGTGTTATTATTAGAAAGATGAAAGCCAATTAAGAGAGTACAAAAAAAAAATAAAAATGCAAACTAAAATTTACATTCATTCACCTTCTTATTGAAATCACTCAGGTGAATGAATGAGTTATAAAACATTTTGCCAAAAGAAAAAAAAAAAAAGCTTCTTATATAATTTGTAAAGAAATAAACAGATGAAAATGAGAGTACGTATCAGAGATACTGTCCTTTTCACAATCTTTCTAGTCCCTGCTATTCCCTCCTCTTCTACAGTACAATCAATAACAGATTGATTAAATAAACATTTAGAGATTATGTTATTTGCTATATAAATTTAATTAATAAAAGTTAAGGCTAAGTAAACAATTTACAATAACTTCAAATCATAACTTTACCTAATTTCTTCAAACTATTTCCATTTTTTTATCTGTGTTAAAATGCAGAGAGAGAGAGAGAGATAGATTGATAGACAGAGAGAAAGGAGAGAGAAAAAGCTAACGTAATTCCTTGAAATTAATAATAATAATAATAATAATAGTAGTAGAAGTAATAATAATAACAATAATAATGATAATAATAATAATAATAATAATAATAGCCATAATAATAATGGTAATAATAATAATGGTAATAAAGTAATAACAATAATAATACTCCCGTCACATTTACCAAATATATATATATATATCAATTTTAGGTTATTATCAATTCTTCCCAAAATAAGACAGTAACTTACTGACATTTCTTAATAAGATTTTTTAAACCAAGAGAGAAAAAAAAAAAAAAAAGTATTATCAATGTTTACTGTGCAACTGAAATAGCACAGTTCTTTTTTTTTATCCATAAAACAATATAGTAAAGAAAAAAAAAAAATAAAATGTAAGAAAATGTGAAGAAAAGAGTAAATTCAAAAAAAAAAAAAAAACCTTAAAATACTTAATTACAAATATAATTGTAACCTATATATATATATATATGTAAAAGATGGAATTATTTTAGCATTTAAAAAATTGCTACAAGAATTGTTTTAGGAAAAGTTAGCACAACAGCATATAAGATAGCAGCATAAACATGACATTTTAAGCTGTAACTACTTGCAGAATCATTTCTCATCACTTATTTGCTGATTCACATATCGAATGAACGTTACTTTCAAAATGATTTCGAAAGAACGAAACATAAAAAAAAAAAAAGAAAGAAAAAAGAACAAAAAGAAAACGACGACAAATAATCACCAAAAACTAACACAAAACAAACTTTTACTGCGTAGGAATACGCTTAGAAATATTCTTCAATAAAAAAAAAAAAACCTACAAAAATTTAGGAAAATATATTTTTAAAAAAAAAAAAAAAAAAAAAAAAAAAATCATTTTATAAAATGATGCATGACAAATTTCTCCAATAAAGCACACTCATCTAAATCACTATTACTTTCAAATTTTATAAAATGAAAAAAAAAAAAAAAAAAAAAACAATCATTTACAATGAAACGGATAAAAAGAAATGAAAACAAAACGTATTAGTAGTTGTATTTTTTTTTTTCCATTAAAAAACATCAATGCTTACTTATCCTTTAATTCATTTAATTCAATAGAATTTTATATGAAATAAAAAAAAAAAAAAAGAAAAAAAAAAAACTAAGCATTTTTAGATTCTTAATAGTTCTAAGAAAATGATGTGAATTTAAATATGATCAAGAATTCTTTTCGACCAGTTTATTAGGAAAACATAACTATGTTCTACCAATTAAAAGAAAACCAGCAAATATTTTTATCCTAACAATCAAAAGTTTTTCATTTCTGTTTTTTTTTTTTTTTCACTCAAATACCGATATTAAATATAAAAGATCCATCGATAATTAATAGATTGAAATAGGAAAAACAAACCAATTCGATACTAATATAAAATTTAAAATTACTGCAGCTAGTAAAAGATTGATGATAGCAGTATTGATTAGCATTTGGATGCCTTGTTTTGTTGTATAGCATTTATTATTCAATTTAAGTGAAAAAAAAAAAAAAAAAAACTAAGACCAAAAGCAATTTACAGATTAAACCAGATTAAATAACATCATCATCAACAACAACAACTGAACTAACCGGTATGAAACAGATCATTTCCGGTTCTTTTCGTTTTCATCACCTACTGCAACTTCCATGAGAGCAATATCCAACAATAAAAATGACAACAAAATTCTGAATGTGCTGATGATTTACACGAATGCATTAACTCTTCCGGTTCAAGAAAACGATAACAACTTTTTTTTAATTTTAATAAAACGGCAATACATCCAATAGACATTTGATATATATATAATAGGAATAAAAAAAAAAAAAACCAAAAAAGAAACGATAGAGAATAGAAAAAAAAAATCATTTATATACCTATCGAGTATATCGGTTATTAAAAATTCAAAAATTTCAGGGATTCATTCATCACTAAATACTGATTCCACAAAATAAACAATTCATACTTAAACATTTGGAAAATATAAACCCGCCGAAAAGTTGGAAAAAGTTGTGATGAAAGTAAATATGTCATCCATATTCCTCTAAAACACAATCACTTTTAATCAGTTTTTTTTTTTTTAAAAAAAAGAAAACTGACAAATCATATCTTAATAAATATCATACACCTAATATTTTTACTAATAAAAAGAGCTACACAGCAATACTATTCAATTACTCATTTCGCCTCTAATATAATTTCTAATTCAAAAAAATTCAATCTATATATTCATTAAAAAAAAAAAAAATCACAAAAAAAAAAAAAAATAAAAATAATTTTAAACATTTTAAGAAGAAATAAAGGTAGTCGTATAGTTGATAGGTAAGAAAAGACATGATATAGTTTATTTGATGATTACCAGCAACCCTTTCCTGTTTTCTCTTTTCTCTCAATTAACTAAAATTATTGCAACTTTAGCATGAATAGAGAGAGAGAGAGAGAGAGAGAGAGGGAGAGAGAGAGAGAGAGAGAGGGTGGAAAAGATGGAAGGAGAGAGTAACGAATGAGGAAGATTGTTTATTGATGCCAATTGACAACTTATTCTATTTTAAAGAAATTTCACGAATGGATGTTACAAGTAGACAATTATATTTAAAAAAAAAAAAAAAAAAAAAAAAAAAAAAAAAAAAAAAAAACATTCTTTCCTATTACATCAAACTATGCCAAAATTTATACTTAATTCATCAATGAGTATAAAGATGTGAAAATTTTTGATATTAATGAAAACATGAAAAAAATTGTTAACAGTTCATTTTTTTGAGAAAGAATATCACTCCTAATGATAAGAAAAATTTTTCCTTTTATATTATCACTATCAGTCAATAAATGAAATGATAACTGATAACATCAATTTGCATATTTAATTTTTTTCAACTTGCAATCAATGAAATTAAGGATAAGTTAGCAAATAATAATAATAATAAATAATAATTAGTAGTTAATAATATAATAATAATAGTTGATGTTGTTTTAAACTATCTATGTCTTCTTAGAAATGAAAAGAGACAAAGAAATGACATTTTCATCCAAAACGAAAAAAAAAAAAAAAATATTGGAAATGCTAAATGCATGTCTCATTTAATACATTTGGTAGACTATATATAAATATGCCTGCAATAGTGAACTGAAAATAATTAAACTTACACATTTAATTTTTCTCAGATTTCATTTCTGAAAATTTCTCACTACAAATTTAATCTTTTCCTTTTCAAGAAAAGAAAAGAAAAGAAAAAAAAAAGTAGCAAAAGAGCATTTTTCGTGATGTATTTATAAAAAATAGCAAACCGGAAGAGTGGATATGGAAAGAAAACGTAATAGTGAAATGAATATTCTTGATGATATCATAACTATGACAAAAAAGATAATATATTAGTAAAAAGAAAGGATAGACTAGAACTAATCCATTTCTTAATCTTTCGTTTATTTTTTTATTTTTTTTTTTTTTTTAAAGTTGTTATTTAATTTGAAAATGAAATAAGAAGAATAAAACGATCCTTTTTCTTCTGGACATAATATGAATGAATAAAATGAAGAGCATTGAGAAAGGAACAAGAAAGAACGAAAATAAATGTCACCATCACCATCACCATCACCATCACCATCACCATCACCATCACCATCACCATCACCATCACCATCACTATCACCATCACCATCACCATCAACAGTATCATCATTCATCAATACTTATATACATTCCCTATCGGAACATTTCCTAGTTGTTTGTGCAAAATGATAAAATGACACAGTGATCAAATTGTAAATTTCAACTCTACTCTATTCCTATTGCATCTTTTTATTCATTCAATAAAATGTCTTTAAAAAAAAAATTATAGAATAAACGATGAAGATAATATTAGATCTTTGAAAAATAGATTAATCAGAATAATTACTATTAATAAAGTCTTAACTAGCATTCAATTCACACATATGTTAAATTAAATTTATTGATACTGAAAAATTACCTCTATAGCTATTTGATAGTAATAATGAAGATATTAATTACATTACAAATACAGTAAGTAATTTCATTTATTTAAATTCAGTTAATGAATCTATGCTAAATACTACATCCCTCTACATCCTTTTGAATCTTCCTTAAATCTATAAATTTCCATATTTTCAATTTCAAAAAATCATAGCAAAACACTTGTCAATTGAGGATTTCAATACCATTTAACATTTTAAAATGCTGCATAATAGATAACATTTTAAAATTTTATCTTCCTATATATATATATATATGAATGAATTACCTCAGGAAAAACTGATAACCAATGATTGCAATATAAGCTCGATATTTTTAGTTATATTTGTAACCTAAACCTAATATTTCAAAGACTATTCAATAAAAGATTAACGATCTATTATCTCTCTCTCTCTCTCTCTCCCTCTCTCTCCTCTTTTGACAAAATTATTTGTAACATGAAATAATTGTTCTGCTTATTGCAGTAATGATACTAATAATAATAATAATAATAATAATAATAATATTAAATATATAATAATAATTATAAAAATATCAGCTGAACATTTTTCAGTAATTAAGGACAAATAATTAATATTAACTAAGAAACATAATTTTAGTTCGATGCATTTGTGAGAAATACAGAGAGAGAGAGAGAGAGAGAGAGATAGAGAGAAAACTAGTAATGATTTCTACATCTATACATATTTAGGAACTTTGTGTTTAAAAAATTGGCACTTGATTATTTCAACACCTTTTAAGATACCTATAATCATCAAGAATAATCAATCAATTTCTGCAATGTAGTCTCGATGATCATAATCAAATTTCAGATTTGCTGAAAAAGATTCATGGAACTATTTTACACTTCCTCCTCTTCCTCCTTTTTTCACATTTAAAATTAGTCACATCAAATTAAGAAATATTTATTACTTAAGCATGAATTATACGGATTAATTGTATTGATTACACTTTTATAATTTCTTGTAATACATATAAAACATTTTGACGACTGTAAAAATAACACATTAAAATGATGCATAAAATATATCCCTTCAACAATAAGTAATGCTAATATTATATTAATAACAGTAGTAGTAAGATAATATATTCTTGTTTATCTTAATTTATATGTAAATAAAAGTGGTTAGAAATTTTTATATGGTTTAGATATTACAGAAATGAATTTATTCACAGAACATGTTATTTCACTATGAAAACGCAAAAAAAAAAAAAGAAAGCTGTCAACTTTAAAAGTCCAAATTCATCTGTAACTCTTCATACAATTGTACATAAGATAATTGCCTATTTAGATTCATTTTCAAATCTCTCTTTTCTGATTATTTCACGGATTATAATTAAAATTTAATCAGATATCATCCAATTCAATTAAAATTTATACCAAATTTTATTAAAATAGTCTCGAAAAATGATCGTTCCTCTCCATCGTCAATCATTTGCATTGAAAAAAAAAAAAACAGAAAAAAAAAAACCCTAAGAAAAACTGAATCATAAAACTATACATTAATATAAAATTAAAAAAAAAAAAAAAAAAAACAACAAAAAAGTGAACTAACAAGGCGAGTGTCCTCCGTTGGATCCAAAAGTCCTCTAGCGTAAGTTTCACGTCCATCAAAATTTGCCGGTACCAAATCTCGCGCTAATATCGAATTACATGTATTATCCGGTATGAAGTTAACTGCAATTATTATAAAAGTTAAAGTAAATTGGTAAAAGGAAAAAAATTAGTGGAATTTTAATGTTTTTTTTTTTTTTTTTTTTTTTTTTAAATTTTAATGCCAGTGAACAACGATCAGGCACAACCTTAATAAGCAAATAAAAGAAGAAAAATTAAAATTAAAATTTGCTACACAACATTAGACTATAACATATAACACACTTTCGTATAAAACTTTCCGACTTCAAACATTAAAATACTTTTTATACTAAAAGAACTATCAACATAGTTTTTTTTTTCTTAAAAAATTTAAAAGGAAATTACTATAAATGAATGACAATGTAATTATCATTTATTATTCTCAATAAAATAAGAGCAGAACTAAGAACTCTTACACTTGACAAAAAAATAAATCATTCCTATCTTTTCATCTCCTCCTCCCCCCCCCCCCCAAAAAAAAAAAAAAAAGTTGAGAAATATAATTCTTCTCAGAACCATTAACACCCAGAACTTGTTTTCGTTACAATCTTTGTTTTTTTCTTTTTTTTTTTTTTTAAGCAAAAATTTAAGCTCAACCTTTAAAATAAGATCAAAAAATCCATTCTTAAAAAAAAAAACTTTTTTTTTTCTTTTTGAATAAGCAAAAAACATTCCATAGATTACTATTAAGTTAACAGTTAATACAAGAAAATGTTAGTTATTCATATCAGCACAAAATAATAATTAAAAGTAAAAAAAAAAAAAAAAAAAACGTCCATGCAGAATTGATATATGTATATGTAAGAAAGTAAATTATATGATATATTAACATATAATAATTAAATTATGATAAAATTACATAATTCACAAAATATGAAAAAACTATCCGTTTTACATTCAACCTTACAAAGTAGTACTAATTTTAAATATTATTCATCATTAATCATCTATTAGAATAAGAAAATAATTTTCAAAATACTTAACTATAAGCAATGTAACCTTTTTCTTAAAAAAAAAAAAAAAAAATCAACTATACCACCATATTTTACTTTATTCAAATTGATAAGAAGATAATAAAAAAAAAAGAGAAAAAACATAAAAAAAAAGAAAAGTAATACATAGTTTCATTGATAACATAATAATAAAAAAAAAAAAAAAAAAGACGAATAGAATTAGAAAAGTTGCATTAATGTTATAGATTTGGATAAGATATATAATTTATGCTATATTTATAAATATTATAATAAAAAAAAAGTTATGAATAAGAAGGAAAAAAAAAAAAAGATATAGATGAGAATGAAAAAAAGTAAAAAAAAAGGAAAAAAATAAAAAAATTTTTTCATAATCTATCTAATAAATAAATAAATAATCATAGATTGTTATCAGATCATTAAAAATGATTACTTTGACAAACACCAAAGAACAAAAGGAATAAATTTAGAAGTTTTATGAGAAAAATAGAACAAACATATTAGGTGGTTAGATTTTTTCCAATACAACCGCATCCAAAAAATGATTAATGTATCAGTGTATGCTAAATTAAAATATTTTTTTTTTCTTTTTTTTTTTTTTTTATTTTTTTTACTGATTCATATAAATTAATGCCATTAATTTATCTATATCAATAAATATAGCCAAATTAAAATCATTAATCTAACAAAAAAAAAATATTTACAAATCAATCAATAAAAACACATCGTTATAATGTTTTATAAATTTAAATGAAATCAAGATAAAAAGAAACGAAAAAAAAGTATACAAAAATAATCAATTTGTTATAAATCGATAAATTAACATTTTGATTCCAATTTTATTATAATAATTTTAATAAGTAGTTATGCAGGATATTTTTATTATAATTAGAATTAGCAATTATTTAACAATTATTGCATATAATCTGCTTTATCATATCATGTTTTAAATTAATGAATATTCAAACAATTAAATATAGTGAAAATTTTTTTTGCAAACTAAGAAGTGATTTATTTCTTTATTTGCATGCATTGAATTTTTTTTTTTAAATAAACATAGATAGTACAAAGACAAAAAAAAAATTAAACTAACATATTCGTTTGTAAATATATAATCCATACTTACCATCAGTTGCTAAAATATCCCTTTTAACTCCTAATGAACGAGATTTTTGCATATCATATGTACCAACTCGATTTCCATGTAAACGTAATTGTCCTGCTGAATAAGCAAATGGATTCTGCAATAATAGCAAAAAATTTTTAAACAACAAAACCACTAGAATTAGTCTTTTGTTTTACTTTCAAAAAAAAAAAAAAAATACATTACCTTCTAATATTATCATTATACATCCGTATATTAATGAATGAATGAAAGTTTTACAGCTATTCATTTCTCTTCTTCTTCTTCTTCTATTTCTATCTTTTATTTCATTTTCAATCATCATTTGTAATTTTTGAAATTATTCACCCAACAAAACAAAACAGGCGCAAGCAACTAAAATTGCTCCTTTCATCATCATTACTTCCATATGTTTAAATACAATTTAGTTAAACTTATGCTAACATCATCATGCTTCCCTTGAGCATCAGTAGTTGCACTAGCTTCAATACTTTTTGGAATTCTATCAATAATTGCTTCAACATTTGAAATATTTTCGCTTTCCTTTTTTGAAACTTTCGACATAATATTCACCATCACTTCATCGTCATCGCTATCGTTTAGCGCTCGAATCTGTAACATAATCTCATTTCTAGTTTCTTTCTTTTTTTTCTCATTGATCCCTACTCAGGATATATATACATATATTTAACAATAACAAAAAAAAAAAAAAAAAGTTCGATCTGGATCTATACAAGTTAACAAAAAAAAAAAAAAAAAAAAGTGGGAAAATTTGGAATTCAAAAGATCTCCTAAATCATTGAAAATAATATACTTCGATTAAAAAAAAACAAAATGATCGAGTTAATGTTCAAAATTGATAACAAAATATTATGAAAGATGACATAATGCAAATAAATTATACTTAACTCAATTCAAATAAATTTGCAGGGATCAAATTAGTCAAATTATAACACTTTTTAATATCATTAGATACTGAAGTGATACTAGCACTGTCAAGTGATATTATTCAACTTATCTCTTCAAAACACTAAAATCACAAATTACAAAACGATCCAATATTTTTCAGGTGCACAAAGAGAGATTGTCCTAACGAATCAATCAATATATTATCAATAAAAAAAAAAAAAAACGACAGAATTCAAAAATGCTAAAGTTCATTTGGATTTTGTTTTTTGTTTTTTTTTGTTTTTTTTTAAAGCTTACCAATCAAAATTTTACTACGCTTAATAATGGAAAAAATGATAAAACTTTACTAGAAGATTCTTTATTATCAATAAAGAAACATTAAAAACTATAGAATTAATTAAATAATTATAAAGCTAATAATTATTTATAATGAAAAAAAAAAAAAAAAAATTCATGCGAATAATTTCAAATTCATTTGATTTCAGAGAAGAAAACTAAATTGAACAAGAAAAAAACATTTCAGCACAAAAAATTTCACAACAATTTAAACTCCTAAACTACTGCAATGACTAAGCCTTATCACCCATCATTACTCGATTTATTTATATACACACATTATATCACTAAAACAATCATCAAATATTGCTGTACGATCACAAAGGTTTTGTTGCATCATTTTTTAGCTCAGTTATTTGTAGGTCAAATATTAGGATAGACAATAAGAATGCAATACAATAAGACAGACAATAAGAAATTATTAAAGATTATAAAAGTCTGAAATAATTTTACTGCCTTTTTGAATAAAAATAACAAAATAAATCAATTAATTAATAAAAAGCAAAAATAATCTGGAACTCCAGCATCAATTTATGAAGCGAGCAAAAAAAATTAGCAGTACTTGGTTTAAAAATTAATTTTATATTAAAAAAAATTGCCCGCTTCCCCTTTTCCTGATCAAAAATCGTATTCTTAACATCACAAAATATTGAATTTAAATTTTGAAAAATGATCGTAATTAAACTTAATTTCAGCTATTCTATTTGTTTTTTTCTCTTTCATTCGATTGGTTATTTTTAAATGAATTAAAACTGAAAGAAAAATTTCATTGAATTATGCAGCTGATATGCACTGCTAAGCGGTGCTATAGGGTCAAAAGCAATCAATTAATTACAGTTTGTTATAATTAATTCAGTACAGCGAACTGCGAAGTACTTTAACTTGTCCTTCACTTGAAATGTGTCACAAAATTTTTATTTCTGATAAAATGAAAGCACAAAAATAAATTAATTACCTCTCGAACTGAATTGCCTTGTGTATAAAGATTCTTGAAATTACCACCATTCATATGCCCACTTTGATTCTCTCCACTATGCATATTTAAAGAGCTGAAGATAAATTTGAATTTCGAATAAGTTTAAAATATTTTTATCTCAGAACTGAAACTCAAAATTCAAGAAAATGCAATATGTTATTAATAAGATAAATTAATATCACACATTTGATTTCTGCATTTCTTTTTTTTTTTTTTTTTTTTGTTTTTTGAAAATATTATACTTAATAATAAACTTACCGAAAGGAATCAATTACACGTTCATCCTCATCAATGTATGCTATTTTATTCGTATCCAAATATCCATTTTCAACTGATGATACAGAATTCAACTTACTGCAACAAATCAATACGTTTATCGAGAAAAAAAAGAAAAACATAATCACTGATCTCTAACCTTCCTTTACTTACTTACTACTATAAAATTTAACACATATTCCTTATAAAAAATTATATATACATCTATATTTTATTTTAACTTCAATAAAACTTACTTGAAATTTACAACACCAGATGGCTTATCAACTGTTTGCGTTGCACGTGAAATATCACTCGAAATATAGTTATTACTATTAGTATTTATAGTATTACTATTGGTCACTGCATGAATAATTTTTTGTTCCACAGCAATCTTGGATGGTCTACTTGATGTCAAATTAATTCTGACCAAATTTTTGGTGTTGTGATCATTACTAGCATTACTATTTCCATATTTGCTATGTTTTGATGTTAGATGTGTTTCCCAGTTTTCCTGAAACAATGTTACATTACTCCATTAAAGTTTACGTACGATAATTCTGATAATTATTATTAATATAATATACTGTTTATAAGATCTAAGCCAGCAATCGATAATTAATTCAAACTCTCGATGAAATACAAGCAATAGATAGATATTAGATAATGAAGGACAAAACAACAACAAAAATAAATATTGCAAATATTCCTAAAATTCATTTGATTCTAATCATCTGATAAAAGCAACTTCGTAAGCTATACTAGGAAAATAAGCTCAAAATAGCATAAACAAATTATCACATTTTATATTTTGTCATGCACTCGATTATTTATGGCAATTTATTGAGTGCAATAATTAAATTATTAACATCATCAAGTATAACTTTATAATGAACATACTATGTCTAATCATTAATGAGGATAAGCATATATCGTACTTATTATTATTTTTAAATTCATTCCTATTAAATGCAAGTATATATTTCATAAAAAAGTTGGATTAAATTTTTGCAAAAATAAATAAATTTAATGCTAATATAACTGAATTGATTCAAAGTTAGCTAAAGAAAGAAAATTGTGGAATAAAAAAGCAAATTGCATAACAGCACAATTACAATATTAACTAGCAAATTTCAAAGAGGTAGAAAGATTTAAGAAGCAAGCAAGCAGGCAGATAAGAAAACAATCAGATGGATCAATTTTAGAGATGATCTGACTAAACATAAAATATTTTCAAGTTTTGTGTAAGAAAGAAAGAAAGAATGAAGGAAAGAGAGACGTTTAATTCATATCATTCAATAATTTCTAATCATAAATGAATTTGTAAACAATCCAACAAGACATGTCCTTAATTTATTATCAAATATACAAGCTCGAGATTAACAATTAATTATGTAGTTAATCCATATATAGCAATAATTATGATAATCAAAAATAAAGTTAAATAATGTGAAGTTCCTGCTTATAAAATATTTTGTTCGTTTAGAAAAAGAAATACTTCTACATAATCTTTCATGTCATCCTATTATCCTAACTATATATATATATATAGAAAGTTTTCAGCATGTTCAAACAAATCAGCTAAATTTGAATTAATTTCAATTATATTCTTCTTTAATTAAAATAATGACAAAAAAAATTTTCACATTCATAAATCTGTTCATTAATTTCACTCAAATTTTACGTTTATGTTTACAAATAATTAAAAAAAAAAAAAACTAAGATTACTAGTGATAAAATTTTGAACAAGAGAAAAATTTCTTATCTCATAAATAAATAGCTGATAAGAAAGTAGAATGAATTATTATAATATATTTTTAAAATGCAAAAAAAAGAAAAAAGAAAAAAAAAAAGGAAAGAAATAAACTAACAGCTTCGGTATACTTCTCCAGAAGTTCACGTGCACGTGACGTAGCTGCAGCTTCTTTAATAAACGCCGTTATTGTACGTTGTTGCTTTCCTCTTTCTGGAAGAAAAAAAAAAAAAAAAGCATAAATATATATCAATGACGCCGAGATCAATGAGCACTTGTCAACAAAATCATCAAATATAATGGCCATACTCAATTCCTCCATTAAAAGACAAATATACATCTTTTCATTAGAAAAAAAAAAAAAAAAATTAATCTCTAAACTCAGCAACAATTACATAGGAATGTTAAACTATTGCATTATGTCTTGTATAAAATTATACATTAATCGAATCAGCAGCTAAAATTTCATACATAAACAAAATGTTAGCTTTAAAACTTTAAAAAACCAATAGCATTTAGAAGAAAAAAAAAAAAGCAACAATTCATTGTAGTATTGATTACAGTGTATACATTTATTTAAATTTATTACAGATATTGAATGATATAAGAAGAATTGATAAGCTTAGAAATTAATTTCTGTATTAAGAAACTTTAAATAATATAACACAATGAAATTACATTTCGAAAAATTTTCATATTATTTAAAATTTGAAAATTTTTAACTATTAATTTCTATAATATTATTAAATATGAATAATTTGCAAATAATTTTATATAAGAATACAATAAAATAAACAAATTTGTTATACTAAAATCAGTTGTACATATTATTATATTCTGATATTAGCATTATTATGTCATTTCATAGCCGAAATGACATTTTCAACTTTTGGAACCTATCAAGTTAATTTGCAGTAAACATTTTGATTGGTTAATCAACACATAAAAAAAACTATTATATATATATATATATCAGAAAATAATGGAAATCAGGATTAAACATCAATGAATACTTTAATATTTCAGTTAAAGGAATTTGTGATTCATTCAATATTTTAAGCTTCCAATTATAAGAGGAATAAGAAAAAAAGGTTATAAACATAAACCTTTTAACAACCAAGAAAATTGTTCATGTGGTGTAAAATTTGATAAAGATCAAGATTGAGTCAGATTTTAAAAAACTATAACCGGTAAAACTGCTCAAATGTAACTTTAGGGAGTACACAGTGCAGTAAAAGTATTAAAATCAAGAAATAGACATGAATTTATATACAATAAAGTATTTTTGATAAAAATGATGAAAAGAAATCAAAAATTTTTTTTGAAATTTGCATAAAAAGAATGAAAGCAAATGAGAAAATATGAGCAGTAAATAAGATGAAATATAATTTGATCAAAAATTATCTCGTCATACTGAAAATAATTGATGTAAAATAAACTAATATTACTTTTCTCATACATTCATAAATGTTTTTAAGATAACAAAAATTTTTCAATATTAGTAAATCATTTTAGAATATCTTAATTTGTATAAAAAAAAAAATTTTTTTCAGAAAAATAGAATAAAAGAATTCTATAAATATCAAAGAAAAGAAAAAAAAAAACTCTGTGAAACAGTTTAAGTAAGTTTGGATAATAATAAATTGCTAACAAAATATCAAACTTAATAATAAAATAAATGATACCAAAAATTACGTCACTGCGACGTAATGACCTGAATAATTAAAATCATATTCTTGATAACAAATTGTCTAACTAATAATCCAAACTTTTCGTGTCACATGTCACAACAAAAAATTAACATATAATAAAGAAATTGAACTGAAAAAAAGAAAAAAGAAAATCTTAAATTCAATAAAAATAGTTTCAATAACAATTTTTGAAATCATGAATTTCCTAATCCATTAACTCATATACAAACGAAAATTTATGTAATTGTAACTGAAAATGTAATTTTCATTTTGATAAAAAAAAAAATAATAATAATAATAATTTCTTGTGCAATTTAAAAGTGTTATTAAAATCAGTAAAAAATGACTTAATGTCATGCTGTTAGTATAATTAAACAAGCAATTTCATCAATTATGTTAACACAACTTCACATATTTATATATCACACAACAAGTAATTTTAAAAGTAAACAACTTTAAAATAAAAAGAAAAAAAAGAAGAAAAAGAAATGATATGCATTGAATGAAATCAGAGAAATTTCTCAACATCATTACCATCATCAGTAACATCATCACTAAACTTCATCCTCCAAACATTTTGCTTTAAATTTTTTAAATTAAAAAAAAGAAAAAAAACCATGCATATGTATAAATGACCTTTATTTATATAAATTGCAGAATGTAAAAGTATAGCTATGAACCTAAATGGTAATTATTAAAATATATTAAGTGTATAAATTGAAGAAAATAATGTTAGAATAAAGTAGAGAAAAATGGGAGAAAGAAAGAAGAAATCTGTTAGCAATAAATTTAACAATTACATTAGTCAAAAGCATCTATCCTTTAAATAAATCTAAAAAAAAATTTTTTTTTTTAAAAATTAACAATGATACTTCCGATAATAAACAATATATAGCACACGTAGATAATACATATGCACATGCATTAATATATGGCTAAAATAAATAGAAATATGATATGAAATATCATAAATAATAATGAGAAAACAAGTAGTTTAAACACATTAAAACTAACATTCCTTTTACTCATTAAATTAAAAGTTACAATCTTTTTTCACAAAAAAAAAAGCAAGTCTAACTATAGTGATAATAATTATCATGATAATAATTAAAACGATAATAACATAGTTATCAATAAGATAATTATACATTAACATCAAAATGCAACATATATTTTATTCAATTATGATAAAAGAAAAAACAACAATACTAATTCATTATCGATTTCATCTTGATCAGAACAATTTACTCTCCTCTCTTCATATCATCTTTTTTTAATTCATATCAATCAATCAATCAATCAATCAATCAAACGTTATCATTTCCATAATAAAACAACAATTATCGATTGATGCATCATAGTACAAACATCAATATTTGTTTTCATATCTTTCTATCAATAATTTCTTCCAATCACATGCTACAAACACATTTTCGTCCTCTTTTCTTTATCTTACAAAAAAAAAAAAAAAAATTTTTTTTTTTTTTCCAATTTTTTTTTCAATTCACAATTTTATTTATTTCTTTTGAACTACATAGCTCTTCATTCTCAATTCTTTTTCTTTTCTATTACAATAGTTTGTTTAAATAAGTGTAAATTGAGATTTCAATTTTTAATAAACTTATAGCTTGCAAATATTCAATAGTAGTATAATTTGTTGTTATTTTCAACAAAAATATCTTCAATAAATACTTAATAACGATTATTACTTTTTTTTTTAAAAAAAAAAACTACAGCTACTACAGCTTATTAGTTATTTGATTTATACGCATAAATTATTTGAGTATTTTACAAAATTTTCATTAGAATGAAAATGATAATTAAAAAAAAGCGCACAAAAAAAAATAGATGACATAAGCAAATGTTTCAATTTAGGTTAAACTTTTATCAATAATTAATTTTTTTTTTTTTAATTAGTAAAAAACCAATCAATATACAGTTAAAAAAAAAAAAAAAAAATGGAGTGCTTGAACATACCAACTGCACTTAGTCATTCTCATATTCATTTCTAAAGTTAGAAAAAAAAATGATAAAAAAATTGCTTTTCTCACTAGTACATCTCTCTCTCTCTCTCTTTCCTCCTCTTTCTCTCTTACCCTCCTTCTTTCTTTCTCTCTATCATCCTTAAATGTTCAATTTTTTTTTTTTTTTTGTCAACATCAACCCCAAATTTTTAATTTCATTTTCTATTTTTAAATATTTGTTTATGTTTATCTATACATTTGCCAATTTTAGCAATGAAATCAATTCCTTAGCTTATCATAAATTCAAAAAAAAAAAACTTCATGCAAATATTTCCGAAAGTACTACTACTTACTCTCATTTTCCATTTCCTGTCTTTCTTATTTTCTGTTTTTTTTTAGGAGGATAATCTGTCGGTATGTTAACACATAAAGCATCGTTTACAATCTTCTTCAATAACAACTGCTTCTAATTATAAAAAAATGCTAACTATATTTGCTTTCTTTAAATTTCTTTCAAAAAAAAAGAAAATATAAATAGAATTAGACTGTATTCTATTTAAAAATCAGTTCATACTTTAATTATTTAATTAACCTTAAAAAAAAAAAAAAACCATAATTGGTATTACTAAATCTAATACTCATTTATCAGTGATCATTTTATATGAATGATAATCGATTTCTTACCAATATTGATGATTCATATCTGTTATAGGATAGGTTAATGACCAATAAATTCAATATTGTTGTCTCATAAATATTTCACATTTCGCTTTAGCAATTTCTCTCACCTGCTCAAATTTTACTGTCCTAATTCATTTTATATAATAGTGATTGGAAATTTAACAGTTGTAACAATTTAATAAAAGCATAACAAATAATCTTAAAATTATAACAGAAGAATAAGAAGTAAAGAACTTTACAATATATAATAATAAGAATATTACGAAAAGGTATTACAGGTGTGAAACATGATCAATATTTAATACATACGAAAGCAGTCTAGTTAAGCAATAGGAGGAGAAGAAATAAAAGCTCAATTTTAGATTTGTTAAACGATTATAAAAATTCTTAAGCCAAAATATATTCTCTAAAAAATAGTGTTATTAATATAGAAAATCGAAATAAGTGCTTTTCATCTGAACAAATCTATTCAAACAAAGAAGTAAAATTGACTAGATTTTATAAGTGCTTCCAATTTGAAGTCTTTAATTACTGCGTTTTCCAAAATATTTTCCACAATTCATTTAAAAAAAAAAAGAAAAAAAAGATGATTTACTATTGGCATAAAACTGAGATTTCCAATTAAGTAACTAAGTAATGCAGTATAAAACAATAATCGATATAAAATTGTTTTTAATATTTTGAAAACTCCACTAGTATTTGGATTATTTTTGTGATTTGATTTGCTTATTGATATGATCCTTAAAATTATGGACGTATTCACTACAAGCTTTAGTTGCATTTTAATTCCAGGTTTAACTTTCAATTTCAACACGACATTTGCTTCATCAATTTTACCAAACAGATAAACGAATAAAAGATAAATTAATAAATCAGCGCAGGCGTAAGATTCATGAAATTACCTCCATTTATGCATCTTATATTCCGTCTACTTATAGTGTCAACCTATTTTACATATGGTTTGTTTACTTATATTTTTTGGCTATGATTCATTGCTAATTTATTTTTTCATAAATGATAAAAAAAAATTCGCCAAATGGTCTTGATCAATACACTAAAAATAATCAAACAACCCCGGACACAGTAATAACGAAGATTAATAACTTTAATTGTAATCAATTGCTTACTTATTCACTGACTAATGTAACTAACGTAAGTGTAACTTGAACTTGACTATACCTTACTCTAGAACTTCCTAACTATCAAAATAATTATTAATATAGTTATTGATTCAAGTGGTTAACTCATTGAAATATCATACGACAATTACCTTCTATTATTTATCTCACAATTTGTCTTACAAGTTAGAGCAGATAATCATTTTATATTTTCGCTGTTAAATTCATTTTCATATTTATCGTTCACATTATCTCTTACAAAATATTTTATAACCGTCAATGTATTTTAAATACAACTAAACTGTCAGTGATTTAAATTATTATGTAAAACATCGGCGTAAATTTCAGAAGAATGTCTCAAATGTTACAGTTGTGATGGTCCTACGGACTGCGCTCATCCACGACAACAATTATGTCCCCAAAATAATGAATGTTTCACGGTTGCACAAAATTACGATACAAAACTAAACGGTTTCTAAAATTCTTTGCATTTGACATAATACCAAATTTACTGATCCAATTGTGTAAAAACTGATCAAATAGTGCTTAAATACAAAGCAGCTTAATTCCGTAGATAATACAGTGCAAATTCTTTACCTTTCCTATATGTAACAAAGTTTAAAGTGAAAAAAAAAAAAAAAAAAAAAAAACATTCCTCAAATCCAAGTCTAATGTATTTTGTTAAAATTTTTTGAATAAATTAAAACTTTAGGTTTACGAAAAGGTTGTGCACCCACATGCGATCGAGTAAATATTGAAGGAATGTTGTGCAGAACTTGTAAATTCGAATTATGTAACGGAGAAACAGGTAAAGAATAATCCATATAAAATGGATAATCTCATCAAGAATTAAAAATTCTTCCAACCAGCGTATAAAATGCTATTAAATAGAATCTAAATTGTTCAATTCTTTCGTATTTCAATTTTAATTGGATAAGCAAACACTCATTTCTGATGCCTTTTAAAGAATATTCGAGAATAAGAAAATCAATACTATATATGCTAGTATAATAATGGATCTTAGTTTATATGTTCAAATTTTGTATGAACAATAACAGATAAATAGAAATCAAATGGTTTGGTATTGATTGCAACAAACTTTCTTGTAATTTCGATCAAATATGATGTGGAATTCCATTTTCAGGCTTAGGTAAAGCATTCGAAAAACCTACTATTTTACCACCTCAGAGACCTTTCGGTATGTGTTTCTGATTTTTTAAGTATAACAGATATTACTAGAGCATTAAATATTTTCAATATCTATATGCTCACTGTGTCTTAATCCGCATTATTTTTTAAGATGTTATACAAATAAGAAAAACTATTGTAAGAAAAAAAAAAAAATTAAATCAGTGAATTTCAGGCCGTAAAAAAGATGCAAACGGAAAGAACAGGATGTATATATTTATAGTAAACTTGCTATTATTTTTGATTTGTGAAACATACTACATATTATAATTCCATTCTGATTTATTTTTTTTTGAAATGTTCTCCTTACTACTGTTTTTTTTTTTCCTTTTTATTTATGCAAATGCATTTATCCATCACAACCATCTAATCGTTTAATTGCTTAATATCCTGGAAGTCATTTAAAACTTTTATGTGTAAACTTAAGATAACCAAACTGAACAACTTTTTTCTACAAAAATGTTAACCATCATTCTTTGCAAACTACCGTAATTTGAACTTATTTGAAATAAGATTGGTAATTACTACTGTTATGAAATTATTCGTGAGCTTTTCCATTAAAAAAAAAAAAAGGTATTAAATAGGAATAAAGAAGTGATTGTGACATTACAGCATAAGATCATAATATAATTTTGCCTTGTAATATCAGATTTAATTTCAACTTATAATATCGAATCGCAATTTTAGGGAATCTTAATTTTTAATTTTAGTGAATTTTGCCAATATCAGTAAGAGATTACAATAAATATGCATCATATTATCTGTTCACCTCACTTATCGTATGTCGTCTTTTGATAGCAAAATTTCTAACCCAACGATTCTATTCTAATTCATAAATTCATAACAGTGTAATTCAACTATAAATGCCAAAATAGAATACCTACTATCAATATTTTGAGTTAAGAATATTAAGAAAATATACTTTAAAGCATGATCTCCTTATATATCTATGTTATCTATGTCTTATTCATTCCTTGCTATTTTTCTATCATGAATGTTTATCCATTTAAACTGTTAAGATAGTTATCTTGGATTTTTCACCATCTCTTCACTCAATTCTTTCTTTCTGTAAACAATGAAAACTAACCAATATCCGCGTTTCGCTGATTTAGTTCTGCTTCACGTCGAAATTGTGCGAGTAAATTGTCCGCTTCTGCTGATAAGCCAGTATTTTCACCTGCATCACTCAGGCGACGACCACCGTATTCCGCTGTTTTTTGAGATTTCTAAAATGGCTATGTCCTATCGATGTTAGAGAAGCTGAACTCAAATTGTATATAGTTCTTAAATTTTAAACACAAACCTTAATTCTCATATTCGTTTCATATTTGTTAGTAAATATTTTTGGAACTAACAAATGCCATACATGTAATATGCTTAGCATTTCAGTGCTAATAATATTTTTGGTAAAGTTGTGAGACTTAAAGAAATTCTGAAGACGAAAAAGAAAATGTTATATGTAAAAATGAGTAAATAAGGTAACAAGTAAGATTATATTTATAGAACAACATCAAATTTATACCACCATAAATGTCTTCCTCGTAACATAATCTCAAGAGGTACTACAAAAGGTAAACTGATAAGTTTCAAACTTGTTAACAATCAAACCTTTCTTTTTCTTTGAAGGCTACCATATTGCGGTTTTGCTGCAGTATTCAAAAGATTGCGGAAATCGTCGTCAGCCAAACTTTGTAACATCGCTGAGGCAGATGAATCGTTCGTGTGCATCTTACCCATCTGAAAGTTTTTTTTTTTTTTTTTTTAAATCATTACTTTTAACTTCGGAAAAACAAAAGTCCCGCATGCAGGATTTAACCCTACAAAAAGTAGTTAGATAATTCTTTCACCTCATAATCATTTATTATGTGCAATATTGAAGTAATTTTTCAACATTATTCCATTTCATATGAAAAGGCTGACAAACTGAATTAAAAGAAAAAAGAGCTGAAATGGAAGTATGGAAAGAAAGAATGGCAAAGCTTTAATTTTATCTTATTTAAAGGTTTTCCGCCTTCAACTCGACCTTCCTTCCTTAACTGATCAGCACTGATTGATGAATCTCATCAATCATTTTTTATGAGAAAACCACTTCCTATTTCTTTGTCTTTCCCTCTCTCTCTCTCTCTCCCTTCCTCTCCCTACTTTTATTAGTCACCGTTCTCTTTGGTTTTTTTTTTTTTTCTAGCCTAAATACTTGAAATATTTATAATTGTAATTCTATTAGGACCCTTAATTTTATTATATTTTATTGAAACGCTTTATTTTCTGAAAAAGGATTATTAGTAAAAGAGAAAATCATTATAATAGCTCTAATAGATCAAATTCATTTATTCCTACTAACTCTAAAAGTATTTATTATTACTGCAATTTAAAACCCATGAAAGTATTAGATACACAATGAAACCATTTTGAAATAGATAAAGGAAGAAAAAAAAAACTAGCCCCTTCAGTGGTTTCATTATTATTTTTCTCGTCATCAACTACCTTTTTGTCTTTCATTTTACGTTGGCCACCCAAAGTGTTATTCGTTACACATAAATTTTTATCATCACTTTTCTCGCTCGACATATCTTACCTCCAGTAGCTGTAAGTTAATATCTAATGGCTAAATTATCAGTGAAGATTTATCGTTTTGTGTAAGTTATTGAAATAAGAAATCTAAAAGGGAAAGTGGCCAATTAAAATAACAGGTAGATGAGTATATGGAACAACAGTATAACAACAAGTATATGAATTAAATATTATATTCATGAGTATTAAACGATAATCAATTGTTAAGATGATAAAAATCCTTCTTTGAACATTACATGTCCAAAATTTGAGAAAGGGAATATGAGAGAATTAAAATTAGATAACCTGAAATTAGTAGTGAATAATTCAAGTGATAGTTATTCTGCAAATGAACTTCCTTTCATTCCAATTCAGAAATAGAAAGTCTTCAAACTATTCCACTGATGAGTTGTCTGTTTGTGTATACGGAAATAAGGTCAAATGATTTCTGCAAGAGTAAATTTTGAATTTAGCTAAACTGAATTGACCAAACAATTCGTAAACATCAACAAACATAATAAATCTATAGTTAAGCTCATTCGATCAGTTAGGAACATTACGACTTTAAACAATTTTCAAAATATAATTCAATAAATTTATTGCAATTGAAAAATTTTCATCTAAAAACGAATCCATAATTATCCATAATTAAATGCATATTGTCTCGATTTTCTTTTTCATGTAAAAAAAAAGAACAACTTGAATGAATAAACGATCGAAAGAAAGATTAAACATACTACAAATATTATCGATCCTAGGCATGTTTATTTTACAGCTTCATTTTATTCAAATATTTATCTAATAAAAAAACTATCCTCCTTTATAAATTTGTAAACTAATTACCCTAAATAACTTATATTTTTTAACTAAGTAAAAGATATGCAAATTTCCATCTGAATCATTATCGTCATTCCATTCCTTCTTCTGAATAAAACTTATATTTTATTCATTATATTATATAATCGATTAATCAACGTTATGAATTACACTTATCTGAAATTCCCGTACAGCGAAAATAAATGAATACAGAAAAGAAACAAACAAACTATCCTAATCAACCGGATTAACAAAAGAGCAAGGAATAATCCGGATCATAGTACCTGAATAGATTCAGCACATCTATTATTGCTCGTCCAAAAGTGAAATATCACTCGTCCAAATTGGTTAGTTGAATGTTTCCGGTAAAGGGAGATGTGGTGCTATCCGGTTGTTCGGTATCTTTTCTTTATCGGTAAGTTAGAGGTTTATTCAGGAAATGATTGCAGACAAACTAAACTTATATAATTCATTAAAGAATTTCTTGAAATTATATAATTCATTAAATAATTTCTTGAAAATTAAAAAAATGCGATGAAATGAATTTTCGAATGTTTATTTTTAATTTTAATAGCTATTGTAAGAGATCATCAAAAAAAAAAAAATCTGTCAATAATAAGCATTAAATAATTTAGGATTGATTATTTGACAAAAAAATTTGAATAATAAATATGTGTGGTTGAAAATTTTTAAGTTAAAATGATTGTGAAAAAGTGTAGAAGTTTTTTTTTTTTTTTTTTTTGAACGATAAGAAAATTTATGACAGTTAAACAATTTAACTGTTTTTTATTCATTTTCCACTTATCATTTCATTCATTTTACCTTTCCATAATAGTTGCAAATAAAAGTGATAAGATTATTGACAAAATTTTTTCTGTTCAATTGAAGTGTTTGAGAACGGTCGGTTCTTTAATTGATCATTTTGAATTAAAATGGAGAAAAATAAACGATTAATAAGTTCAATGGAAAAGATGAAGCTAATGAGTAAGGTGTGTTCTGGATGTGATCATTTGATCGATTACTTTGTTTTAATTTGAGACTTTTTCACATTGCAAATTTTCATTTAAATTCATTGAACGATTGCTTTGTTCAGTTATTTTTTCTTTTTTTTGATTTTGATTTTGAAATTATTTAAAATGATGTGCAAATTAACTGTTTGAAATTAATCCATATTTTTATTTCGTTTTTATTCTGGACATTTTAGTGGAAAACAAATGGAATATTGTCTAATTTACGGGATGAAGAATCATCAAGTCATGAAGAGATTGATTTAGATTTACCAAAAAAGAAAGTTAAAAATGGTTCGCCTAAAAAAACAATCGGAAAATCGGGTGAAAAAATTGAGAAACAAATAGATCAAAAAATAGCTGAGATTTCTGAGAAGAAGCACTTTGATTCCAAAGAATCCAGTTCTTTTTCCGAAGAGCATATGACAGGAAATCTTGGCTTCAGAGAAACAACTCGAAAGATTTCTGGCTCAAGAGATTTTTCAAAAGAGATTTCAAACTTTAAGGAATACACAAAGGAAAGTCAAAATGGACACACGAAAAGCGAACCAAAAGAATCTAAGTATATTATTAGCTCAAGAAGCTTAGGAAGTACAGAAGGAATAGAAGATGAATCAATTAAATTCGACAAAAAGGTTATATTCAGATTAAGTACATCAGACGATTGACACTATCAGACATTTCAGTTGACAATTGAAATTTAAACAATTGTCGCAGAGACACAAATTACAGTTTACACTTTTCTTTTTTAGAAAGAGCACACTGTGAGCGAAGTAATTCAGACGAAGAAAAAAGCATCAAAACGAAAACCGGTAGAACTTTTATTAATAATTCCGAGCGTAGTTCACTTCGAACAAAAGGCATAAAACAGGGATTGAAGTGGTAGTACGGAATAGTAAATCGGAAGTCCGAAATAAATGATCTCCTGTAAACAACTTCATTAATTCTGCAAAAAGAAATATATATATATAAAAAAAAAAGAAAAGAAAATGATGGATTCCTTTTAGAGACCTTACTATTACAATGATTTGTTGGATGGAATTCCAGAAAGTCTTCGAAGTACGAACGACGATTCATCACAGGTTAAAAAAGAAACTTTCTTTAGTTTCATTTTCGACTATTTGCAAAAGTAAGCATATCAGTAAATAACGCTAAAATTCTGTTTGTACATTAAGACTAAAGCTTAAATCAAGTTTTCCTGAAGTTAGTTTAAGAATTCAATATTTCAAATTTAAAGCTGATCATATACGCTGATATATACCGATGTCAATATAATCAAAATTAGTAAATGCTAGAAAATTATTAAAGAGTTATTGCTATTTTCGTATTACATGTATTATCATTTATAAATATACATTAAGCTGATTTGATATGTTTTTTTTTTTTTTTTTTTTTTTTTTTTGTTTTTGATATGTTAAAGCAAAATATATATCATTCTTAGAGATCATATCCCTATAGTAGGACAATTCCGCCAAATCTTAGAGAGATGAAACTGACAACGCCAATTAGACAAAGAACACCGGTATGTTTATACTAATAGTTTTATCTTTTCGCATTCATCTTTTATCTCTAAAAATTTCAAGCAATTACTGAATTTGAATGTTTTAATGGAAAATTTTGAATATCACTTGAATTTCATAAAATTGATATAGCATTTTTTTTTAAAAAAAAAGGCTATACAAAGTTTTTTATAGCGTCCTTTTTACTACAATGAACTATTGGATGGTGTAACGGAAAGTCTCATAAACTTAGAGGAATCAAAAACTTTTGGAGTAAAAGATTTTAATCTTCCATTGATACAATCACAATCTCAAACAGAAGAGCTATCCAGAGATAGTCGAACTGTTGATGATGAATCGAAGGTAAAGCTTGTTCCAATAAAATGGACGAATTAACTAGGATAATAGAATAATTTTGAAGATTGAACATGAAAATTGAAATATTAGATACCGATGGAAATATCAGGTCATTTACATTTTGGAAATTGCTTGTTGATTGGATACTCAAAAGACTGAAAACCTTAATTTTACAGTTGCGATTCAAATGATTAGAGTAATCTTGACTCATAATTTTCCGTTTTCAATATCCAGCATTTCTGTTTTGGATATATTTTTGATATTTGATATCTATTTAGACTTATTTATTATTATTTTTCGAATAAGAAAATTAATCGTTATCAGAGTAATAACGCATAGACAATTTTTTTAAATAATTTTGAAAGTTTTACTACTAGTAAATAACTTTAAGGTAGCAGAATAAATTTAGATGCTTCAATTTGAAATTGTTCAAATTTAACAAGTGAAATTATCATTTTAGGAAAGCGAAATAGATTCAGCTCAGGGAATGCCAACAGAAATGGCTGGTAAGTTTAATTTGCTCAAAGACGTTACATTTGTTTTCAGTCGGATAGGTGATTGTTTATTTATCTAATTATTATTATTTATCCAAAAACAAAAAGAAAAATATATCTTTTTGCTTTTTTGTTTTGTTTTGTTTTTTTTTTTTGTTTTTGTTCTTGTTTTTGATCATTTCATCAATAGCAAATACCGCCTGTGATCGCTTAAGCCATTCGAAATTTTATTGAATTTATTTCAATGATTCTTCAGCCATTACCCACAATTATTTCCATAAGTTTCTTAATTATTTGAAAATTTAGAGAACTAATAATCTAATTAAATCTTAAAAAGTTTATGTAAATCTCAATTCTTTCCTCAGAACATTTAAACAGTTCTAAATGAGGAAGAAGAGGAAGAAATTAATTAAATTGGGAAAGTTTCTTCACTTTAGATAGAAATATTGCAAAGGATGCATTAAGTGCTCAAAAATTAGTAAAAGGTGAAAATGTGATGGATTTCACATGCAATTATATTTTCTCAAAGAAAGATCTAGAAAGAGCAATGAAATTTGAACATAAATTTTTATGGAAACAACAACAACATATTTCTAATTTTTGCCAAAGTGAAGAAATGGTATAGTAATAGTTTCTTCATGTTTTATTTACTCCATTTAAAAAAAAAAAAAAAAAAAAGCATAATTAAATAATTTCGTTTTTATTTTATAAAAATAATTAATATTTCATGTGCAAATTCGTTTTTCTTGGCAGAGCTTAATTCAATTCAAATTCAAATTCATTATTAAAAGATCCTTTCTAAACATATATTAACAATTTAAATAATATATAGTATAATCTGATAATTCGAAAAAAAAATCTCTTCCAATCTTCATGTTAACTTTAAAAGAAATGAATAGGATATTCTTTATAGAGTTAAAATGATCGATTACTTTATTATTTTAATAATACTATAATTGTGATTAATTCAAAATAAAACAATAACTTCTTTCTTAGTTTAATTTTAATTTTAAGAATGACGGAAAGAATCGATCACCGACTGTGGTTAACTTTAATGAAGGTGCTGTACATTTGCTACCAACATTAACAAATGATTCACGATATATTCATGCATCACAAATTAATATTCCGTATGGCAATTTTATCATCGCACAAGTAAATTCTGTTTCAGTTGTTTCAGCAAAGTTTTCCAAAAGTTTCAGTAAAAAAAGTTTCAACGAAGATTTCCGGACAATAATTGATAATAATAAAATAATAACAATGTAATATAATAATAATAAAATGATAACAATGTAATATAATAATAATAATAAATAATTTCAATGAGATAATTTGAATAAATAATAAAGCACGAAGCATTAAAATTAGTTATATATCAAATAAAAATATTGATGATGTATTAGTAAAGATGTTTATGATTTGACTACAAAATATAATCAAATTTTTAATTAAGCTCTATTTTTATTTTTCCTAATTCTTTTCATTCTTATTTTTTAAGCTACCTATGTTTTTGCTAAATCACTATAATACACATAGTGATTTGTATTACTACTCTAAAATAATTAATATTTTCATTGCATAATGATTCATTACTTCCGTCTCAGTTATTTTCTTATAAAAGTTAAGCATGAAAAACAAAATTATTTGAAATTTTTGCTAAAAATTAAAATATTATAATCTTTCTTGTTAAACTAAAGATATTCTCATCCTAAACTTCAAATGAATCATTGTAGATTAATCATTTCTAAATCAAGTAAAACTTTCCATTCTAATTTTTCATTGAATTATCATCAAGAGAAAAATTCCAATCATACTTAGCTGATTAGTATTCTTAATATATTATAATTCTTTATTACTTTTCCGATTTTATTCTTTATTACATTTCCGGAAATGATATTAGATGAATGATTTTTGCAGGGTCCAACAAAACAATCACTGATTGATTTCTTTCGGATGCTATGGCAATGTCATGTGCGACTAGTGATTTGTTTGGATCCACTTACTGATCCAATGACTTGTTATCCATATTTCAGTTTTAAAAAACAACAATTAGTTAAGGTCATTTTCAATGACTCATTTCCTCATCAAAATAACACAAAAAATAATTTAATTTTACATTTAAAACGATGAATAATAACAATAATTTAATTTTTTAAAACGATTTTTGATCTCTGCATCAAATGATTGATTGATTGATCGATTGATTGATTGATTGATTGATTGATTCACTGTAAATAATTATTATTCCAGGTAAGGGAAAGATTTTCTCTTGAGACTCGAGAAATTATCGATACACCTGTGGCAAATTTATTTGTTTATGAAGCCGTGCTTACAAATATGGAAATTAGAAGTGGTAGTAAGTGATAGGATTTATTGCTACAACAATAATTTCAATTTTACCACTTCGAAAAGCATTATTCTTTCTTAGATCAAAAACTTAGAAACAAATAATGTTGTTGATTGTAAATATTTGTTAAAACATAAATTATTTATTTACCTATGCAATAAAGTTAAAAATATTTTACTTCACTAATCATAGATACTATTATAATATTTTTTAATTAATTTTTGAAAATTTAAAATTGAAATGAATGATATAGTTTTGTGATCATCTGCAAATTCTACGATCATTCTACAATTTATATTCATTTCTTTCATTCAATTAATCGTAAAATTCTATGATGTAGTAAATTTATTTAAACTAATTTGCATATTATTTTAATTTAGTAAATAAACGATGCATTCATATTATGCGATATGATGAATGGACAGATGAAAAAGCAATATCATCGGTGCTATTAATTAAAATGATTACTGTTATGGAAGTAATAAATGAAAAAAGAAGAAAACCAATTGTTGTTCATGGTAGTTATGGTATTCGAAGGAGTGGTATTTTTGTAATTACCTCATTGCTAATGAGACAGGTATGCTCATCGAATAAATTTATATCACTTTATATATATATATCTTTTTTTTTTTTTTTATTTTTGTAAATTTATATCATATTCTTCCACAGGTTGATAACATTACATTTAAATTCACATTCATCATATTTTATTTTATAGATTATAACATATTTCATTTTATTTTATTTTTTATTTTTTTTTTTTTAAAATCAGATCACGGAGACACATCGTATGTCAGTCTTGAATGCAGCTATAGCGGTGCGCAAATGTCGTTACGGTGTTCTGCGATTCTTGAAAGATTATCGTTTAGTACTACAAACTGTTTTATGTTATGCAAAGCAATGTAATTTGATTAAAAATGAAAGAAAATTTATGGATGCTATAAATGTAAGTAAGGATTAATCATTGATCTAAGTTAATGAATTATTATTTAATTTAATAGTATGACAAAAAATGAGACATATGGTAAAGCAAAAGAAAGAAATAAATTGAAGAGAAGAGTTTGACACAAATATTACTTTTATAATTATTACTGTTTAAGTCAGCATATTTGTATGGTAATTAAATAATCAATTACATATTTAAAAAAAAAAAATGGAAAAAAAGAAAAGTTGAAAATTTGGTGTTATTGCAGATTTTGAAAGGAAACGATGATTATATGTGATAGCATATTTGGATGCAATTTATTGGCATTTATTTCATTTGAATTTAACACTGCTTAACAAGAAGCATAAAATGAAATTCTTGCATTAGCATTTTATTACATTTCTTTAATTAAGTACTCCAAAAAAAAAAAAAAAAAAAACGAAAGAAAAATTATTAACTTTTTAATATATAAATGTTGGATATAAATCACTGTAAATTATTTCAATGAAAGAAAAAGTCTGATTAGATTTTTTCACAAAATTCAAATTGATAAGCATTGTATCATTGAGTAAATCAATTGAAGTTGATTGTTCAATTGCATATCCACCAATAATAGGTAAAGTGATACCAATTTTTGGTACTATGGTACCAATCCAAGAATTAATTACTTTTATTGTTTTCATAAGCATATTAAACAATCTGGAAAAAAAAAAAAACTTTTATTATTACCATTTGTGACATATTTTTTAATTAATATATTTAAATTTAAATTTATTACATTTAATACACTTACAAAGTTGGAAGTTGTCCTATATTTGCAGTAAATTCAATTATCGAAACATTTGCATCAACAATTTGAAATAATAATATTTGATCATGAAATGATGGTAGAATGGTATAACTGGTCATTGTTGCTGAAAGTTATATCAATCATTTCTTCAATTCTAATTTAACTAATTTTAATTTAACTAATCAAAGAGAAAGAAAAAAAAAAGAAAGAAAGGACAAATAGAATTACTTTAAAATTGCTTTAATAAATAAAAAATTGAAACTTACTGAACTGAGCAAATCCATCAATTTCATTTTCAAAATTTGGAATGAATAATTCGAATAATAATACAGCATTTACTGTAATACCATTAGGAGTTGTAGAATAAACAGGTGGTTTAATTGCATGTAAACGTATCGTTGCTGTTTGATTAGGAAATTTTGTTGCAAATATTGGAAATAAATGACCAATGCATAATTCATAAAATAAACAACTATAAAAAATAATTTAGATTAATTTTAAATTAGAATTTAGTAATTAGCAGGATTAATTGATAAATATTCACCTCAAAATTTCCAGCTAACCAAAAAAGAAAAAGAAAAAATGATAAATGAAATTACTTTCGAATTACTTTAATATCAATTTTACTCTTGTAATTAGAATTACTTTAGTACTTTTTAGAGTAATTTTAATAATTATCATATTTGGACATTTTCTGATTTATAAACTTTGATAAATAATTGCAAAAAAAAAAATGATATAGAAATTTACTCATTCATCCAATCATAATAATATTTCAGTAATTTTAAAAAAAAAAAGATTGGTTGAAATTAAAAAAGTAAACATAACAATTCTAATATAAATTTGATTAAACTATGCTATGAAAGCTAAAAATTAAAAAATTATCATTTCATTCTTTTCAATGTATAATTATTATTAAATTAAAAAAATTGTTAATTAATTAAATATAACTGAAAAGAGTTTTAAATTTTAACTTATTCAATAATTCATAACTGTTACTCAAAAATCAAATATTTCTTTTTGGTTAATTTAATATCATTAATATGATTATTCAATTTAGTGTATTCCAGTAAAAATTAACTTACTTTGTTCTCAAAAATTTTGCAAATATTCCAGAATGGAAATTATGATCTATTGAAAGTATTAAATATTCATTTTCAAATAATGTATTAAATAATTTATTTGCAATATTATCCGATAACCAAATATGAAACATATGTTTATTTTCAGAGATATTATAGAAAGCTGTAAACAATTTGCAATGATTAGATAAACATATAAAAATATTATCATTAAATAATTTTAGTATTTTAAAAAATGTTTTAAAAGGAAATTAAATTTTTATTAATTAATCCTAAATTACCATTAGATGATGATTGTATAGTGGTATTAATTTTAATTAAACTTTTATTAATATATAATGAAGGTTGAAATGCTAATATCTGCCAAAAAGCATTAGCTTGAAGATAATTCTCTTCGGCAATCATATCTTCCTGTAATAATTTTGTTTTTTTTTTTTTTTTTATAAATTATATTTAAAAAAAAAAAAAAAATGAAAATGCAATTTCTTATTATTTAGTATTGAATAGGAAAAAAAAATTCTAACAGCTAATTTATTATATTAACATGAAATTGATGATAATATGAAGTTTTAACTTTTTTATCATACCTGAAATTCGTAATTAGTATACAAATTCCCGAGAAGTTTTGAGTATTGAGGAATGCGTAATATCATATCATTTACATTTGCAATCATTGTTTGATTCATTCTTTTGCAGAACTAAATGTAAAATTTTTGTAAATTTTTGAAATGAAGGAAAAAACAAAAAGAAGAAAACGAAGAAACTTTTATTTATAATAAATATTAGCTATCATTCATTATTAATAATACTAAAAAAATAATAATTTAATATTGATTTGAATATATTTATCAAATTTTATATATTTCAAATTAACAGTAAGTTTTTTTTTTTTTTCATTTTACTAATAATACATTAGCGCCATAAGCGCTTTTTTTTTCTCTGTCTCTCTTCACTTACCTCAGTGCTTATCTTTCGTACAATAATTTGTGACATTAAATTTTTCATCGTTGATAAAATATTTAATAAATTACTGTTTGAATGATAAACAACACTGATATTTCTAATATTCATTGCACATTTTCGTAATTTAATTAATGGATGAAGATTTCTTGTGAGTACATCCATTTCTAATTTTACAATAAAATTTGATGCATTAACATCTGCTTCACCGGTTACTGTTACCTGTATGAAAATAATTTCATTAATATATGTTTGTATTTTAATATAAATTTAAGTTTAATGCAATTTAAATTTAATTATTACCGTTTTGAAGATAAGTGGAAGAAATGTTGTAAAAAAAGAATGTGATTTCAATGAACCATTGGTAGCTTCAATGACAATACCATGCGGTGATTTTGGTTTCAATTTTAAATTTGGCGAAATAAATTCGCTAATAGTTGCATTTGTGATATTTATTTGTAATGATGGATCTGATAAGTCCATGAATGGTATCATAAAATTGCATTGTTGATTGAGCTACAAATTTTTAACTAATAATTTTAAATAATTGAAAAAAAAAAAAAAATGTAAATGAATCTTTTGTTGAATTTTAATCTATCATAAAAGAAAAAACGAATGTTTTAAAATTTTATATGAATGATAAAGCATTGTTAAATATTTAAAATAAAGCAATTTTTTGTTTTTGCAAATTTTACTTATTAAAAATTTGAAAAAAAAAAAAAAAAGATAACTGCTAACAATTTTGGTGATAAATTCACTGATAAATTCTAAACCCAAATTTGTAATTCTCATTTGAATTGTTGGTGTATGATTGCTCATTGATCCAAATTCAAATAATACTGTTAGTAGTAAAAGCCATAGCATTTTCTTCATTTCTAGGAGAAATGAATAACAAATTCATAAAATTTTAAATATTCAGAATTTTCATTTTATTTCAAGATTTCAAATTTTGATACAATAAAAGTTTATTAATTTCAAAATCTACTTTTCTTTAAGCAGATATAAAACAGTGGGATGTATTTTTAATTTCAAATTATTTGATCATATTTTAACAATCATTTTGCTATGGAATATTTGAAAAAAAAGAAATTAATGATCAATTCAATAAATTTATTTGATACATTACAGTTTTACAGCTAATTAATCATACAAAATGTCATTAGTAGATGATAAATAGAATTTAAAACAAAAAAAAAAAAAAAGTAATCCAATAATTTTTTACAAAAATATTGACAGGATGACAGTTCATTCCATTTTATCATTTAAATAATATTTCATTTTGATTATTCTCGATGAATGCTCTATCCATTTTCAATATTATTAAAATTACAAAAAAAAAAAAAAAAAAAAAAAAACAGAAACAAAACAAAATAAAAACTGAGAATTAGCTAAATTTATTTTTCATCTAACTATTCTGAATCGATCTGTGTAAATTTAATTACTTAAAATTCTTTAGAAAAATGAATTATTCGGTAATTCTTGAAATCAGTGGCTTTCATTTAAAAAAAAAAATAAATAAATAAAATGTCGCGGCAATTGTTTAGGTCAAGACAAAATGGTTGAAACAGAAATCTTCCTTTTTTTTTAAAAAAAAAAAAACTGAAATTGACAATTAGTGACAGACAATTAGACTTACTCAGTAAGACAATTTTTAAATATGATAATTTCACTGTGTTACATTCTTTAATATATTATTATTAACAAATTTACACTAAGCTATTGATATCATTAGAAATGACCACCTGTTTAGATCATTTGTCAATTAATTAAAAAATTATCACTGATAAATTTTCAACTTTTCCGCTAGAAAAAAGAAAGCAAAAAAAAAAAAAATAAAGGGGGCTAAATAGTAAGTAGAAATGATCAGTGATATCAACTGATGACTAGAAGATGATAAAGTTTAAAATTAATAACTAGGAAGTGATAAAGTTTAAAATTAATGACTGGAAAATGATAAAGTTTAAAATGTTGTGCAAATTTGAAATTTCAATACTTTCTCAGTGTACTTTTTACATTTTTACACTTTTTTTTGTAGTATAGTTAATCACTAAGTTTATAGTTATACGGTACTTATGCAATGCTTCATAAATATCAGATAAGAATGATAGGCGGAATTTCATTATTCTTATCAGTTTTGAGAGACAAGCATAAGATAAATGAAACATTTTCTTTTTTTTTTTAAATAAAATGGTGTTAAAATTAGGACTGTCTGCTGTTAAATCGTCTTATCAGTTTGGTATAATACCATAATAATGTTTCAAATGATAATAAATTTTTGAGCTTTTGATTTATTTTGATTTGAACTGAATCAGTTGCATTTTCAATTTGATCTATAAGACTAATTTGAATTTATTATACAGAAAATAAAGTTGTGATACTGGTTGAAATAGAAATTATAAATGAAATGTTACAGTCATTTTAATTGATCTATTGATAAACTGATAAATATTGATTGATAACTATTAGTAATTATATAAGCTATTGCTAGCATATGGAAAATATTATTTATTAATTTAAATTTTTATTAATTCAAAATATTATTTGTTAAAAAAAGATATTATTTATTAATTTTAAAAATTTAAATTGTTGAATTAATTTTTTTATATTATCATTAATTAATTGAAAAAAACTTTTAAACTTATGCAAAGTTTGTATAATTTTAACAATAATAGAGAAATTATTTTTTAGCAAACTAAAATTTTAAAATTTTAATTTCGACACATTCATGCATAAATTTCAATTTTGTTTACTTTGATTAAAATTTTTATTATCATAGTGAGAAAAAGCGTGAGAGGGAGGGAGAGAAGGAGAGAGAGAGGGGAAAAGACAAAAAGTTGACATTTTAGGATGGAAAAAAACTTTTAAAAAAAAAATCTCCTACAATAAGTTAAACTATTATTGTAAGAGCAAAATAATGATCTGATAGAAATCTCTGATATCTAAAAAAAAAAAAAAAAAGAAATTTGATAGATCTAGTAGAAAAGAAAATTCAATTCAATTTGAACAATTTAAATAATATTTAAGATGAGAGTAGGAAGCTTTTTGAATTTGCTAAGATTTAATTTAATTATATGAATTAATCAATTTAATTAGTAATAGTAATAATTTTTTAATCGAATTATTTCCCTAAAATTTTCAATGACTATCAACGCAAATATCATTTTAATGACTAAAAGCTTATTAAAAATTAATGTCATTTTCACAATCTAATAAGCTAATCTAAAATCAATATTTAATTAATACTTAACTTTTTAAAGTAATCAATATTCGATGATAATACTTAAATGAATAATTGAATAATTCTGATTTATCGCTCATCCTTGAATCATAACTCTTTGAAAGTTTATTAAAAGTATTTAACTTTTTTTTTTATAAAAAAAATTTTATCTCAAATACAAGAAACTTTGGGAATCTAAACAAACGATTATTTTTCATTTTCAATGAAATTCAAATTAGCTAACATTACAGTTTTGTTTGTTTCTATGTTTACATTTCATTTCATTTCATATTATAATAAAATTTTCCTAAGTGCTTTTATGAAAATTTTGATAATATAAAAAAAATTTATTTTTGAAAAAGTTTATTTAGAAAATTTTGATAAATAAGATTTAAAAAAATTTTGATACATTTATTACTAAAATTTTGATAAGTTTATTTGGAAATTTTGATAAATTTATTTTGATAAAACTCATTTTAAGTTTACCTCGATATCATTTGTTCAGGTGAAAGAGCAATTTTCCGGCATAAATCGTTTTTAAACATTTAAATTAATTTTTTTTTTCTTAAATATAAATCCAACTATATTTTGAGCTTAAATCACATTTTGATCACATTTTGAGCTTAGACATAGGTTTAGGCTTAAGTTTAGGTTTGGGCTTGGTTTAGGTTTAGGCTTAGGCTTAGGTTTAGGCTTAGGCTTAGGCTTAGGTTTAGGCTTAGGTTTAGGTTTAGGCTTAGGCTTAGGTTTGGGTTTAGGCTTAGGTTGGGCTTCGTTAACAAATTATTGGATCAACGCATATCTAAGAAATTGCTAAACTTTGCTTTATTTGAACTTTTTGTTTTTACGCAAATTGATTGGAACAAATTGAAGACTTTCATTTGCATTTGACAATGTCCAAATTTTTTTTACCATTTCGATTAATTTCGATTATTTAAACTTAGTTTGAAGCGATGTATGCTAGCAGCAAATATCGTTGTAATTCATTTTTTGCGATTTTTTAAAAGCCTAAAAATGAACTGAAATAATTTGCAATTTTTAAAAATTACTCTTTAGATGATAACATTTTGATATAAAATGATAAATAAAAAGTATGAAATAAAAATTAGCTAACTTAAAAAAAAAACTTCCAAAGTAATAGCAACTATTTAAATATTACAAAAGATTTTCATGAAATTATTAATTTAACTAACTTTTACTTTTAATTTTTTGTATATTTTAAATCAATGCTTGTTTTTTTTTTTGAATTTTCCTCTCTTTTAACTACGAAATTTAAAAATATTTGAATTTAAATCAATCGCTACATGGCAATTTTTTTTTTTTTTTTTTAAAAAGTAGAAACGATTTAAAGTTGTCGATGCTAATTTGCATATCTATTTATTTGTCATCTTATTGTTTGCTTCTTGAATGTTCCTTTCATTTAGAACAAAATAACTTAGAAAAAATAAACTTATACTTATTTACCTTTCTAAAATATTGTTTAGGTAAGAAATTATTTCATATTGTTGGTGGTAAAGTTTGTTAAGTATTATTACTTGTGCAGGAATTATAATTGAGTTATGGGTTTAATTTGTTATAGCATTTTATCAAATTTATAAATCATTAAATGAAATTACTTTCAAATGTCTCAAAAGGTATCTCAGGTAAAATTTATTAGCAAAGTACGAATAATACCCTCAAAATATGTGCAAAAAAAATGAATATTATTGAAGAGGAATTTATTAACAATTTGACGTTGAAAAAATTTAATTAAATTAATTAGTTATATCTTAAGTGGTAAATTTTTATAATTACTCTAATCTCAACTAAAAATTGACAAATATTATCACAAATGCAATTATTAGTCTTATTTTTTTTTTTTTTTGATTATTAAAAAAGAAATGGGATAGCAAGTGGTTCTTACTTAAACTTAGAATAATATTTAAAAAATCCATTTAAATTTATAGGATCATTTTATATTATTTTTTATCCTATTGTTTGCTTCTTAAATGTTCCTTTCATTTTGAACAAAATACCTTAAAAAAAATAAACTTATACTTATTTAATGAAATCAAATTATTGTGATAATATAAATTACTTGTAAAAATGACAATGATCGATGTGCTTTTAATTTTTTAATTACTTTTGAGAAATTTAATTTCAAATTTTGAGTAAATTTTATTTCATTTACTATATAGTTAAGCAATTATAAGTTTAAAATAACATTGTCATAGCCAAGTTTGATGCAAAAGTAAAATTTTATTATTTTTTTTTTTTGTTTTCTAAAGATTTAGATGAAAAATTTCTGTATTTCATAGATAGAGCATGAAACTTTTTTAAAATAACTTCTACCATTTAACTTTTATCATTTATAAAAGTATAAAAACTTGTTGAAGAATTAATTGAAATAAATTTTTATTTTTAGTTTTTAAATATTTTTCTATTAAAAAACATTTGTTTGTTTTATAAATATTTTAATTGGATGATAAGATATTGTATTAATTTTTTATTTAAAATTTGTTTAATTCTTAAACATTTCAGTTAAATGATAAAATGTTATGCCATTATTTTTGTACTATGATTAAATTTAATGCTAAAGATTAAATTACTACTAAATTAGCCACCTGTTTACCTTCTATGAAATCATTTAATTTTTTGTTTACATTTGTAAATCATAAACATAAATCTTATGCAATAACTGATTGACTGTATTGTAATCTTAGTAAGTAACATTTTTCTGTTTACATTTGCCAAAATCTGATATTTTTCATATATTTTCTATAACATAAATACTTTTATTGTATCAGTTGAATAACTTTTTGTTTACTCATTGGCTTATCACTTTGAGTGATAAGCAAATCAGTAAACACAAATGAAATACTAATTGATTCACTAACAATTTACATTTTTAAAAAGTTTTGCACCATAATATTATCGCTTCCTTTGATGTAATTTATGATGCATGCTGCAAGCTGCAAATTGCAGGTTGCAAGCACTTCTTTTTTTTTTTTTTTAATTTATTATTTATTTGATACATTCGTTTTTTTTTTTTTCATCTTTTTCATAGCATTATTTCATTATATATTAATAATTTAGTACCATTTTATATTTTCAATTCAAAATCTAAAAGTGCATAAAAGAGCTTTTCATTTTAATTCTATTTCAATAGTAATTTTTAATTTACAACTTTGTTTTCGATTAAATAATGATTTAGCATCATTAACATATCAGTGAATAAAATGCATTAATTAATTCATATTATTTGAGTAATTAATTAATTAATTAATTAATTCATCCTATCCTAAAATATTTTGTCTATTTATTATTATGAGTTATCGTTCATTGTTAAAATACCGAAAATTTTTGATCAAATAATTTCAACTTAAAATTTACACCATTTTTGAGAAAATACAAAACAGTTCCTTGGATTTTTTTAACAATTTCAATTCCAATTCAATTTTTAATACATTTCAAATAATTTATTTTAACAATAAATTAGCTTCTTTTGGACATTTATTATATAAAGAAATTGAAAGGAGAGAGACAGAGAGAGAGGGAGAAAGAGAGAGGGAGGGAAAAAAGTCTTTTCCTGCTTTATAATTCAAAATTTATCATAATTTTAGGACAAGAAAGAAAAAAAAAATGAAAGTTTTTTTGGTGACAAAAAAATCTAAACAAAAGATAAATTTTCTTATGACACTAAAAAGAAAGTTTATAATAAACGAGGTAAAGAGAGAGAGAGAGAAAGAAAGAGAGGGAGAGAGAGAAAGAATTACTGAGAGTAGGAAAAGCAGGGTAAGAAGGACAAGGCAGGTCAAATTTAATTAATATTACAAAAACTTTACGAATCGTTCATAATCTTCAGAATGTTCCACTTTGCATTCATATTTCATCGTCCTCTAACATTAGTCTTTCGAATTAACTGTAAAATTTGCTATCTTTTCATCAAAATAATTTTTAAATTTAAATTTATATTTTAATTTTTACAAGAAAAAAGAAAATTTCATTTTGAATTTATTTATAGGATGCAAAAAGTTCGCAATTATAATAAATTCATTTAAATACATTCGAAAGGTCAAATGAAAATGCGCTTTATTTAACAATTACAACATTGAAAATGACATATGAAAATGAATATGCTACATATAAATGGTAGAATTTATTATACTTTTAAAATTTTAAAAATTTTTAATTAAATTAAAAAAAAAAAGAACAAAAACAAAAGAGAAGAATTATTCAATTATTGATGAAATTTAATTTTTTTGTTTTTTGTTTTTTTTTTAAACATCTTAGTATAAGCCATCAAAATATTGGAACACTGTTATCAAATGTCAATTTAAATGCGACAATTGCCACTTTGTTTGGTTCAAACTGTCAAGTAAGAATTTTTTTTTTCATAGCATTTTACATATTTCAATTTCATTTCATTTTCATCCAAACATTACTGCAAACATTTATGCTGTATTTATCTAACTTTTATTAATTAAAATTAATTAATGGAACAAAAAAAAAAAAAAAAAAGGCACAGAAATTACAAATTAGAAAAATTTAATTTAATATTTATAGATATTAGCGGCAAGCTTTATTGAATTATTGGAAGAAGATTTTGAAATGATAAAATGGAAAAAAATTGCTGATGGTTTAATATGTTTTATTTATGATTTCAATCAAAATGTTACATTTTTGAATCTAATCGAACCAATCTGTCCACAGTCAAAATATATCATTCATAAATGGACAATTATCTTGCATGAGTTTTTTTTTTTTTTGTTTTAATTTTAAAAAAAAATTTTTTTTTTCTAAAAATCTCATTGAAAAATTTCACTTCCCTCTCTCACTTTTTCCTATCGATTAAATTTAATTCATCAATTTTTTTTTTTTTTTTAAATTCATTAATTATTTAATTTAATTCATTAATTGGAGAAAATTATTGCAGGAAATCAACAATGATAATTGAAAAGATAAGTGCAAATTTTATAGTATTATATGCAGATGATAATAAAATTTATGGTATGAATTTTTGCTTAAAAATTGAAGCAGAAAATTTTTATCAAATGTTACTCACAATTCGATCATATTTTTCATCAGAATTTGGTTTGTTTCATTGATATATTTTTTAATTTTTCAATTTTCTTTTTTTTTTTTTTTTTTTTGAAAAAAAAAAATGGAAAAAAGAAAAAACAAACAAATAATTAAAATTTTTTTTAATTCAAAATAATTTATTTTTATTTATTTATTTAATTCATTTAGAAAGTAAATGGAAATGTAAAAATATGGATGATTTATTGGATATGCAATCATTTTCCACCGAAAGCTTTTCAATTAAAAGCATTAATGTAAAAGTGAAATTTTTAATTCTAAATTTTTAATTCTTTTTTTGAAGTTTATCAAATTTTACTGAAATTACTAATTGTTTAACACTTTTTACATTGTTTTCTCATAATTTCGTTATTTTTTTTTTTTGAAAAATTTTATTATTTTATTTAATATTAAATGTTTTTTATAATTTTTTACAAATTTTAATAAATATATTAATATTAAATTAATCATACATTTTTAGCCTCATAATTGGAATAAATTATCATTAATAATGAAATTTTTGAGAAAACTCAAACATATATTTGCTGGTAATTAATTTTTGTTTATTACAAAAATCTAACTTTTTTTTTTCAATAATTTTTTTTTTTTTGTTATTTAATTTATGCAAATTTCATCAAAATTAATTTCTATAAAATTTTTATATAATACGAAGAGTTGAATGATCTTTTTTTGCCTTCAAATAGTTTTTTTTTTTTTTTTTTTTCTTTCATACAATACTGAATAAATTAATGTTTGAAAAAAATTAATAATTTTGAAAAGAGAAAAAAAGTAATTAATAAAAAAAAAAATTTTTTTATAATTAATAACCATTGAATATTATTAAAATATAATACGTAAATTATGAATTTATGTTGTTTTGTTGATGGAACAAAAAGAGTAAAACGTATTGAAATCAGTGAACCAGTAAATTTTGAGTAAGTTTTATTGTTTTCATTCTTTTTTTTTTTTTTTTTTTTAAATTGAAATGATTGAATAAATGCGATAGAATTTAATTAAATTTTTAAATTAGTTAAATTTTAAAAAAAAAATGGAAAAGAAGTGATAAAATGAAAGAATATAATCACTAAAGGTTCTTATAAATTTTTAAATTTTTTATTTTTATTTTTCATATTTTACAGACATAAAATTCATATTGGATTGGATTCAATACATGGATTTGATGAAAATAATGATGAATTATTGAAAGAAATTTTTCGAGAAGCACAATCACTCATTGCTAATTATTTTCAACAAAAATTAATAGCAAAAGAATGGTATTTGGTAAATATTTGATATTTGTTCTAATTTTATTTTTATACAAAAATTCTAATATTTCAATAATATCTATTAAAAATAACAATTAAATTTCATATTTTTCTTTTTCCTTATTGTTTTTTAATGTTTAATGTATACATTATTAAGTCTATTAAATTAAATCTATTGAAAAAAAAAAAAAAGAAAGAAATTTCTTATAAAATATTTTTAGGCAAGAAAAGATGAGTGGAAATTAATCAAACAACAGCGTAGTTTAAAAAATACAATGGATAGCATGTAATGAATTTTCATTCTAATAATTTATTAATAATATCATAATTAAAAAATAGTTATAAAAATGAAATAATAATTTCACCTTTAACCTTTCCTTTTTTATTTTCAGACGTCTTCGATGTAACAAACAATCAAGGCCAACTTTAAATATTGTCAAATATTTTGATCAAGTTAAGGTATTTCTCGTCATTTCCACATGTACTATTAAAATTTTAAAATAATAGAAAGAATTGTATTTTAAATAAATGCAAAAGATTTTGCAGCAATTTCTTAATTCTGATATTTCATTAAAATATTTAACTAAGATAGCATTTAAATTCTAATATTTTTTAAATTTTACATCCCAGCTATATAAATTTTTTTTGTTTTTGGGATTTTTTCATCGATTTGAGAATATTTTAACCAATTTATGATAAGTTACTACAGAAGATGAATCATCTAAAAGATAAAACTCTCGAAGAATATTACTATGAAAGTGAAAGAAAGCAGATAAAATGCACGATGAACTGTAGCAAGGAATTCAACAACGATAGTAATAGCTGATCAGAATAAATTTTTTAAAGGTAAGTAAGAACTAATTAACTGTTCATTTATATCAATCCTTTCATTTTAATAATAAATTAGGTAGGATGAAAATTCCTTAAACCAATAATAGGTTGATTCTTTTTGGAAAATGAAAGAAAGTTAAATTTAATCTCAATTTTAGTCTTTAACAATAACAGTCTTGTGTACATGTTTTTTTTTTTTTTTTTTTTTTCTCGAATTCAATTCTTGTCCTTATTTTTATAGAGAAACAATAAAAATAACAATGAAGAGGATTAATAGTATTCTGAAAAGGAAAAAAAAAAAAAAAGAGAAAGAAAACATTGCTGAAAAACTCCCGTAATAATTATTTATCGACTGTTAATAAACATCATACATATCCGTATAATGTTTGTTGTTTGTTTGTTTTTTTCTTACAATGATGAGGAAATAAAAGAAGAGTTTTAAACAACTGAAAGAGATTGAAGAAATATTTTGCAGAAAATTTTTGTGCCATATGATTTAAATTGTAAATATAAATCCTTCATCATAATTATAAATGAACATATACCTCCCTCTTTCTCGAATGTGAAACATTTATCATCTAAAATTTACTTTCACAAAAACGTCTAATCTAATTTATTATCCTCCGAAAACTATCGATAAATTATGCCTGTGTGTAAAATATAACAAATAATCTGAAAGAGTACGAGTATTAAAAAGACGACAATATTATCGAATCATACAGCAATTTAAGGAACCAGTTCTTCATGTTTAGAAAATGAGAGCAAGCTAACAAATTTTTAGGAAACCTTAGCAATGCAAATATCACATATTTAATTCTAACTTATTTACACTTCACTAAAAAGACAAAGGTAAGTAAGTTAATCACAGAACAAAAATACCAATCTAATCAATGATAATAATGAAACTAAAATTAAGCACAAATAACAATAAGCTTCCACTATGGAATGCATAATCCCAATGAGAGAGCCCCTACAAAATGTCTGTATGTAAATTAAAAAGAAATCCACTAGTAGTCCATTTTGCTTGTTTCTCACTCTCGATGGACCTGCTAATTCATTCTATGCCATTTTGGATGTTACCACCATATTTTGTTCTTCCTTCAGTGCTGACTGAAAGTTTCACTACTCAAAAAGATAAAAAAAATATGATAAAAGTAACAATTATCACTTTTATACAGCAATATTTATGATTATCATCATTGATTCTCGCGCATTTCTTAGAATTATTATTAAAAAAAAAAAGTATAAATAATATGAGTAATAAGACTAAAACTTTATACCTCAGCATAAGATACTGGAGGTGAAAATGCACTGTTTGGTGATGGAAACAAAGGTTCACCAATTGACATCATCATTGGCACTGGATTCGAAGTTAACTGATACGAGATTTGTGATGACTGTGAGTCCATAATTGGAGGTTGTTGTAATTGTTGTTGAGCATACAATAAATGAGGTGGCGCTACCTGAACAGATAAATATTTTAGTGGTAAAAATGAAGTTGTCAAAATAAAGTTAATTTTACATAAACTTACTTATGAATATGCTTACATAAATAAATTTGCTTACAACTAATTTCACATAAACAATGCAAATAAAAGTACAACTGATAAGAAAAGCACAAACTCGATATAGTTCCATTGATGACGTAGCAAACTGCGTCTCATCATTCACTTTAGTCACTCCGGAAGGATCGTAACGATAATCAGTATTGTATATTTGTGCAATTTGAGCACATGACAATTGTTGACCTGAAGACTGTTCATCACATGTTATTCCACTTCGACTATAAACAATCGATTCTGCATTTAAAGTTGGCATCGAAGATTGCACATTTGCTTCAGGAGTGATAAAATGAGACTGCATAGGCGGGGAAGTGCTACCGGGATGAACGATTACTTCTTCCTGTAAGTAATTCGTCAACATAAGTAAATGTAAATAGCTGGTAGTAAAAAAGTGAAATGAAATTTAAAAATAAAACAACTATTACATTAGTTTGACAATATTTTAATAATATAATATATAAATCATAAGATTAAATAACATAAAAATGTAGCATTAAACTTCGGAAACACTGTAACAACAAAAAGATAAAATTTTTCTACCAATTCTGGAATCGAAATTTCCACTGCAGCTTCTGATAAATTGGCACACTTAGAAATTTCGTTGTCATGGATGATATGTTCAGATTCCATCTGCTCAAGGTTTGGAGATTGTGACTGCGTAGTTAAATCGATTGGTGGGGCAATTAGCACTTGTCTATCAATAATGAATTGTTGAGGAAGTATTGATGCAGTTTCGCTAGAACCGAGGTTAGTAATTTCAGGGTTTCTGTTTTGTAGAGGTGAATCTGGAGTCTCTTGTAATTTCCTATCAGGCAAATCCAACCTAGAAAATATAAAAATAAATAAAACCTTACTAAAACGGATATTTCAATAAAATTCTAAACGTATAAATCCAAAGTAGAAACAATAAAAGCACCTTCTTGGTGGGCCAGGCATCACTTCAGCAAGTAACTCTGGCAAGAATGTACCAATACGTGTAACAGTCATATCATATAAATCAGGTATCGTATTGAACATTTCAGTATTGTCCATGACGAGAATCATATTCTTTAACGATTCCGGGATTGATTCTGATAAAAGTTCACTACGATCCGCATGAAGATACTGATTCATATAATCTAGCAAACGTAACCATAACGATCGGAATGATGGCAACAAACTCAAAGGCCTAAAAAAAAAAAAAAAAAAAAAAAAAATTTTAAATTTTTTTAAAACCTTGATTTGGCGACAAAAAAACATTTAATAGCCTTTTTACAGTAGTAAAAATGAACTTAGTTTTGGTTAACTACAACACTAACATTGCCCTAACTTTAAATCAGATTGGTGAAAAAGATTCTGATCCATCTTTTCCAAGAATATTTTGCTAATGTTAGCTTCCAAATCCAAAAAGATACGATAAATTTTAATCAGATTTCAAGGTAAAAATTTAAACCAACGTTAAATGATTGAGCAGAATTTTTGAGATAAGTTGCATAACTCGTACTCTTGTCTCCTCCATTCCAATCGGATCCATTGGTGATAAATTTTCGAGCAACTTTTGTAGCAGAGGGAAAAGTATCTCACCAAAACATTCTTCCCATTGTTTGCCTTTCATCACTTGCATTTCCGGTATTAGAAAGGCTCGCTATAAAAATTTGATGAGTTTGTGCTTAAAATTTGTACAATTAAAATATAAAAGGCTTACCACAAGGAAATTAAGCGCTTGTGTTCGTACTTGTCGCCTGCAATCACAACAGAGACGAGCTATACATTGTAAAAGTGGTCGCCAACAATGGTTCCATAAAGCTGGTAAACTAGCATCAATCTAAAGCATAATTCAATGTTCAGCAAAATCTGAATAATTAAAAATATTAAATCGATGACGCTACAAAAAAAAAAAAAAAAAAAAAAGATAAAGATGGCTTACCTTATCTCCACCATCAGCCCAACTTCGATATATTGCAGCACCTTTCACATGCAATGTGTGACACAAGTCAAGTATCTGGAAGGCAACCTGTAAAAAAAGAACACTCATTGAATTTTATGAGAAGAATAAACAGCGAATTATAATATTCATTTCATACTTTAAAAAATCACAATATTTATGAAAAAATTTTGCAGTTCAAACGAAAAATATGGAAGATTGATAAAGATAGCATTAATCAAATTTTCATCAGCACTTCAAATTATGTGTAGCAAAATTAAAAACATTAACCTGTTGATAGCTTGCTGATAACTTTTGTGGTTCAGCTTGAGCTGACATTTCTTCGTCCTCATAGCTACTTCCGGTTTTCAAAGACATGCGTCTATGGCTATTTCTATCTGCAATATAAACTCGAATATTTAAATTTCCACCTATCATATACAATAATAAAGAAATTTTCTTTAAAATAATCCATACATTCACAATATTATCCCGTTCCTACAGAATCTAACGAACCAATAACCTTGTTTAGCACTATGCTTTAACTTTTCATCTTTTAGAACACTTCGTAGCTGACTTTGAGCATCACCACTAAGCGGACCTGCAGCATATCTGCAATATTTGAAATTTATTTGGAATCTTAGATTAAAAAATCATCTAAAAGCAAACAGAAAAATCGCCATAACTTAATCCATTAAGCTATATATAGCAAAACTAGAAATAAAACATATGTATACCGTCCACCATCCAGACTAGCTTCAGTACATGAACGCAAACATTCAATACACGAATCAAAGTTATCAGGAGTGATGTGAGCTGCATCTCGTACCAGAAATGCTAGCGTTTCTCCCACTTTGAGAAACGCTAAAGGATCGTGTCTAAAATAAAACAATTTATTTCCAAATTTATCAAAGCATTGAAAGATTAACATTTAAAATTTTCATTTCGAAAAACAACTGAAATAGTTGTAAAATTTCGAAAAACAACCTGATGAGATTAGTCCGCAGCACAACAGTACCACGATCAAAAACACTCGAATAAAGATGCTGCTTTCCAGTTGGCTTAAGTTGGAGCTGCTGTTGCTGCGTAGCAAGTACTGCTGAAAACGAATATTTTTCTTTTTTTCTTTTTTTTTTTTTCGAAATCCTGTTATCTCATTCTCAACCAAGAAAAAAAGAAGTATCTATATTTGCTTATTTATTAAGGTGAAGTACCGATCACTGAAAAAAGATTGAAGAAAAGCTGTTAATTGATTTTGTTTTGTATGCAAATCAAACAACAATTAAGTAATAGCAATTCCCGATGAATAATGAAAGCTCTCTTGTTTTTTCTCATATCTCCTTTTTTCCTTCTAAAAGATTGTGCACACAAATACTAATCTATAATTAAAACAAACCATCTTTGTGATCAACATGTATCCATTCTGTGCTTGTCTCCTTTAATAATGAAGCTGCACTATCGATATGTTCTGAAAGAGTCGAAAAGGATGATACTGATCCTGCAAAAAATTACGCAATAAATTTTACAAAA